GGGCATGGTCTTCTCCACAAGAGATTCGAAAACCTTTTGGTCGAGGAGGGTTCCGTACATGGTTTGCGAGTAGTAGCCGGGAAGAAGGCGATCACACAGCACAGAAAGAAGGAAGAATGCCTGTGATTCGGACATGTATCTTTATTGGTTAGAATCAAGAAGCTGCACGTCGAGGGGCACACATACATCAACAACGCTGCGACTACAATGTTCATCGCCTGGCAGTAGCCGACTTCTTCGTTTGTCCAGCTGTATGCTGTCAATACCCTTCGGAGTCTACCAATACCCTCTTCACTCTGGAAGCCTGGGTACTCGGGCAAACTCCTGTTCAGATCCTTCTCAATCTCATCTATAGCCAGCGACTCTCGCCCAGAGTATTTTTGTAATGTTTCGGTATATAGGTTCGGATTCTGAAGGCGCAGAAAAAAGGCCCCCGATGTGAGTTCCCACATTTCACCTCTTAAACGATTGGGCAGACCGACGCGGATGAGTTTGTGGAAGGTGGGCTGTCGGATCAGGGTTGCACTTCGGCCGTTGTCTGCTACACATTAATAATGCTTTTGTGCACGAACTGAGTTCAACTTGCCTTTCAAGTATTCACGCCAGAGACGTATCTTTGTCGCATCTCTAAGTTTCCTTGCATTTCCAGGGTATCTGAATATCATGCCCAAGCCTGTATCTGGGTGTTCCCTCCCCGGCTTGCCATCCGCGCCCGGCTTCTTTCCCTCGTCGTCGGTGAGCAGATACTCGGAGTAACACTGAGCGACCACCTTGCGTAGATTCTCCACCTCCTTGACACCTTCCCTCAAGCCCTTCTTGAGGCCATCGCAAAACCGCTCGCATGCCTGCCGCGAGCCGGCAAGCTGAATCGTAAGCTTCTGGCCAGCAGGCGCTTGTGACTTGGAGTCTGGTGTGCCGTTCCATGTGGTAATTGCGAGGGCAAACATGTAGCTCTGACTGTGCAGACGCTCTACCCGCCGTATACCGCATAGTGGTAGGGTGAAACCGTTGCCCGCCGGTCCCGCGCCATGGGTTTGGCCTGTGAAGCTGCTCGAGGAGCTCAAGCTTGCTGTGTTGATGAAGCTTGAGCCCTGCGTCGAGAAGCAGAGGTACTGCTCGCTGAGATGTAGTTTGCCCACATAATGGTTGCCCTGGCCGCGGTCCTTGTCGGATGTGACGTCGCCGTTACCCCTCGTAGAGTGGTGGGGTTGGAGTGTAAGCTCAGCGGTGATCTCCTGGAGAGGATTCTGCGAGTCGGGAAGTCGGAACTGGTAGCGAAAAAGGGTGGCTTTGGAGGGCCGTCGGTCTGTGGATGCGGGAGCAGCGATGGTGTTGAGCGTGGGTTCAATGTACTGTTGGGCCTTCTGCACCAGGTTCGAGATGTTGAACATGGCTTCGGCCCGGCCGCGGGTCAGAGACAGAAGAAAGTCGGTATAAAGCGGACGCAAGTCACTGCTTGTGCTTCATTGCGCGACAGGAGACGCCCTTGTTGGTCGGCTTGCAGAGGGCCCTAGAGCTTATGCAGGGCGGGAACTGGGTGGGTGGAGTGTTGCACCTGCCACAGCGCACGGCCACAGCGAGGCTGAAATCTGGCAATGACTAAGACACAGTCCGCCCGCCTTGTCTAGGATGTCCCGGCCGCCATCAACCATCTGTGGGGAATTGGGTTTGGGGCTACGATGGAGAGACACAAGCACACAGCAGATCAAGTCACGAGCACAATGGTGGGGAGCAAAGAAGTGAAGAGGTTCATCATTGCCGTCTGCCTGTAACTACCCGGGTGTAGCTGGGCGCGTACGTATTTCAACGCCACAACGAACGCGGCAAAGTATCTGCAATCTACTACTCTCTATCACATGCGCTTACGTGCAGGTGTAAGCTCCGTCAACCCGTAGATCCGCACCCTGCATTTTCTGGTTAGCAGCAGCTTGTTGATTGCATTTAGGCACTACTCACAGTAACGTATAAGCTGGCGTCGCTGGACAGGAAAGTGACAGCGCCCATCAGGTCCTCGGGACGTCCCATCTTACCGACAGGAATCAGCGATGTCCACTGCTTCTGGAGTTCTGGGTTGTCGTCGAGGATCTTCTTAGTCCTGCAGCGCCGTTAGCATCGTTTTGGTTCGTGACAAAAGATTTACGTACAATGCAGTAAGCATGTATCCAGGGGAAATGCAGTTCACGCGGATTCCTGCACCGGCCCATTCAACCGCTAAACTCGCTGCCAAGTGTCGCACTGCTGCCTTTGCAGCATTGTACGGAGCTTGTGGCTGCGGGACATTAACAATGGAGCCAGACATGCTGCCAATCATGACAATGCTTCCCGGCGCCTTCCTCTCCATGAGGTGCTTTGCCACTGCCACGGCGTATAGGTATGTGCCGTCGACGTTGACGCCCCATAGCTTCTGCATGCGGTCGTGGGGGTAGGAGATGGCATCGTAGTTCTCGGTGAAGCCAGCAGATGTGACGAGGTTGTCGACCTTGCCATGGCGCTTCAGGATCTCGGCAAAGGACTGGTTGACAGAGGTTGGACTCGAGACATCGCAAAAGTGAGCTGTGACCTTTGGTGTCCTGTGTCTTGAGTTAGTTGGAGTGGGATGTGGAGAGGAGGAATTTCCAACCTTCTCGATGCGGGGTTCTCCTTCTTGTAGACATCAACAAGCCCCTGTGCGGATCGCTCTCCTTCTTCTTTGTTCATGTCGACAATGGCAACGTCGGCACCAGATGTAACCAGTGCCTGTGCCATGACCAGGCCCAGACCTCGAGCTCCACCAGTAACGACGGCTACCTTGCCCTCCATGGAAAAGGAGGCCAGTGTGCGCTTCGAGTGCTCGCCTCCACGACCTACGACGGGATTCGAAGGCGGTAGGTCCTTCTCTTCTGGGTACTCTACGACAATGTCGTCTCGAGTTCGCGCATACTGGCCTTCGTGGTCACCACTCTCGCCAGGCTCGCCCGACGTCGTCGCTGCATTGACTGGATCGTCGTTCTGGGAATCTTTATCTAAACGAGTGGGAGAAGAAGTGAAGTATCGAATTGAAGAAATGGCTGGCTGTGCGGGTCGGAAGGCTGCTCGAGGAGCCTGTACCGTAGCCGCGCGGGCAATGTGCCGAAGTACCTGAGATCTGAACATGTCAATTGCAATTGCAATTGCAATACAAAGATGCCGCAGTCAGAGAATCGTAGAAGTAGCCCTCGCAGAAAAGGAGCGAAGAGTTCACGATGTACACAGCTATCGACACGAGGTATGAAATCATTCGGTCCTTTGGACAGCTTGAGCTTCGTGGCCCGCCGTGCTGCTGTTGGTTGAACGCCTCTGACGACAGGACATGCAGGGTCAGCTTAAGCGAGCCCCAATCGAGTATCCCGCGAAGTTTATCCCATCTACACGCATTCAATGGCATTCTCCGCTCCATCACTGTCTCCATCTTTATTACACACCGACAAGGCCAAGAGTGGATTTGCCCTGGCTCTGCCCGCCCCTTCTCCACACACACACACACACACACACACCCTTGGTCCGGAGGAGCTCCAGCAAATGCTGACCGCTGGCCACCCCCACGTTCCAAGAAGCAAATAATCATAGGAAGGCCCTTGTAGCCCGGCCAGAGCGGGGCAGCCTATGCAGCCCAGCACTGCGATTCTAGAGATTGCCTGTACTCCACTGCATACAAGCACTCCGCTTATCCGTATTGTCGCCGCCAGCTAAATATACCCCAGAGTGCGCACCACGACACGCCATGCTGGACCTGTACCTCGTCACCTTCAATGCGGCACGCGAACTCGTCGACCCGCAGGCATTGGCGCCGTCCTTCTTTGCCGCGCTCCCCAAGGAGACGCCCGTGCCAGACATTATCGCCATTTCACTGCAGGAAATTGCGCCCATTGCCTATTCATTTCTCGGTGGATCCTATTTGAAGCCCTACTTCGACCGCGTGACCACGACTGTCCAGCTTGCTGCCGACCTCCGCAACCAGGGCAGTGGCTCCCTCGAGCATGTGGCTACGCGTAGCCTGGGCATGACGGCCCTGATGCTATTTGCAAAGCCCGCCATCCTCGAGAGGATACAATGGATACAGTCGGCAGGTGCAGGCGTCGGCTTTTCCAACATGGGCAACAAGGGGGCTGTTGCGATGCGCATCGGCCTGGCGTGTCCCGGCGCCGACGACACCCTTGATCTCACCTTTGCTGCAGCCCACCTTGCGCCCATGGAAAGGAACGTGGAAGCGCGCAACAAGGACTGGGAGAATCTAGTGCGCAACTTGGTCTTTGTCAATGGCGACGAGACCGCCTACAGCTCGAGCGAACAAAGACCCCTTCTAGCCGCCTCTCCAGATGCTCCCGCTGATCACAACGGTCTTTTTACGCCTGGAAACCACGTTTTCTTTTACGGCGACCTAAACTATCGCACTAGTGACAGCCCGCCAGATGGTGACGCTCCCAAGTCCTACCCTCAGCCTACCGAGTCAGAGTCATCATCCAAACACTTTTCACATTTGTTAAAGCAGGACCAATTGATTAGAGAGAAAAACGCCAAGCGCACACTGCATGGTTTCGAGGAGCTCCCCATCACCTTCCCGCCTACATACAAGTACTCCACTTCCAAACACTCTCTAGCCGGTGAGGTTGAATCGTGGCACTGGTCAAAGCACCGATATCCCTCGTGGTGTGACCGGATCCTCTTTCTACGCGCCGGGTCTGCATCGGACCTAGAGCCCCAGATCTACACCGCTCTCCCTATCCAGCCCACCTCAGACCACCGTCCTGTTGCTCTCTCCCTGCGCGTCGAAGAAAAGCCCATTAAAATGGGCATCAGCGAAGTTTTTTCCCGTGCGCCCTTTGACATCAATCCCCAATGGAAGGCCAGACGGGATGCCGCACGACGCTGGGAAGTCATTGTAGGCGTCATGTCCTATCTCACCTTGACCGGCAAGGGCCAGATCATCCTCATCACCTTGATGGGTGCCGTAGCTGGCGGTCTGTTTTTGGCTGGGGCTTTGACTAGATGAGACTGCTCTTGACTTGTTGCCACTCGCTAGCAGTGTTCCTCCAGCTCCGCTGCTCAGCGAGATATTTTATTGTCGCCGCTGTTGGTATACCCACGGTGTTTACCTCTTCTAGAAATTCTATCATCTTGAAATGTGCCATCTCATCGCTCAACAGCACTGCAAATTTGTGCACGGCGTGCGCTGCTTTCCATGGTGCCGATATGCAGTGGGTATTGCATCGAGCAATGGCCACCATTTCCTTCAGTCCTCTGAGTATTTCTTCTTGTATGGATGCAACAACACTGTCTCCATAGGGGTACACAAATTCGATGTCGAGGTAACTAGCTGCCAGTGCAATGCGACATATCCGCAAGTGTTGATTTGCATCAGCTTGAGCAATGTCAGTCATGAAAATAGCGAGATAATTGTTATCCAAACTCACCGTGGCAAGGACCGGAGAACCATAGTTCTGGAAAGTATCCCGAAGCGTACGAGTCTTCTTTATGAAACAACGCATCGAAAGTTGCAGGTCGCATCAATTCCCATTCATCAACGAGATTTCTCAAGTACTGCCGCTCATCTGCTGTTCGATTGTCTGTCGCCATCCACTGTAGGATACGCGCATTCAACCATACTATTCGGTTACCCCATGAGGCCTCGTCTTCTGGTAGGGCCAATGCAGGTAGAATGGAGTTTCCATAATTGATGCGCAAACTCGAACGATTGAGAAGCGCTTGACAAACTTCGGAATTTACGTGAATCATGAGACAAGCCTGCACGACCGGACTAGACATATCGAGCAACCAGCCCTCGGGCCCGTGGAAAAGCTCATAAGTGGAGAGGTGGGTTTGACCCTGCGTACCCGCTGATTATTTGTCAGCCAAACATTCCACTTTCTTTGCTTTGTCACTACACACCGTGGAACTCTTCAAATGTTCTGAGAAGCATCGCTGTTACCAGCGTTGCCTCGTCCTCAATCCTGCCTTTCTCCGCTAGGTACGGAATGAGGTCCTGTAGGACCCTATCATGATACACATAAGGCCCAGCAGGGAAATGCGGGTCATGGCGCAAGACATGTTGGGCAGATGTCATGAGAATTGCATTCATAAGCATCGCATTCTCGAAAGCAAGTCTTGGAACTACTTTTCTGAACACGGCTACTGGACTTGTAATGTCGAGAGATACTGCGGCCTTTTCGATCCAGAAGCGAAATAAATATGCTTCGATTGGATCAGAGAGGGGCCAGGCTACGTCGGCAACTGAACTCGCTGCAGGGTGTGGACGTGGCGAAGGGCCGTCGGACTGTGAGTCTGCAGGCGATGGCTCATCGAGACTGGAATAATTGGAGACCGAGCCTGGAGCCGGACTCGTATGCCGTCGGGCATGCCATGGAGGAGGAACATGCCTCTGGCTGTCCGCAGATGTCTGCGCTTGATTGTCCCATGTCCCACCCCGCAGAGGCAGACGTTGCTCTCTCGTCCCGGGACTCGTCATTGCAGAGCCTGACAGTCTCCCTGATGTCCGTGAACGATTTACATGTTTTGGTGTCCTCCCCTCGCCTGCAGATCCTGAATTTTCGCATTCTTCAGCTACAAGTCTGGACTCGTCGATAAAATTCACTGCGATGCTGTGTCAGTGCTTGCATAATGCTTATCAGTCGCTCAGAAGCGACTCAACCGGTGGCTTGAACATACATTTACCCTCGGTACCAACCCATCTCTGCCCAGCAGCGAAAAAATAATCGTACTTTTTGATATCTGCTCGGGTTGCTTGACCTTCTGCATCTGGAAACACGCCGTGTCTAAAGCGGACCCTGTAATTGGTCTTCTTCGGCTGGGCGCCTGGTGACAAAGACACACTCATCCTGCGTTGCAGTATAAGAAAACGATGCGAATAAACAGCCGTACTTCCAAAACAAGGCAAACCAGGACGATTCGGAAAGAGGACCAGCAATCTTGCCAAGACAAGTAGAAGGTGCTGACGGTGCTCAATGTTTTCAACCAGCAACCAGGCAAGAGTTTGCCGCCTCAGCTGGTATTATGTACTGTGTCTGTCTGTCGCAAGCTACGCCACATCGGTAACCATGATGCACGGTGAATGGAAGAAACGGCACATGCGTATGCGACAAGAAATGCACAACACATACGTTTTCTTCTCGTTTCTCATATCAGAGGGATTTGATCATCTCCCCTTTCCCCTTTGGGCCTAAGGGCGCGGATTGCTCTTCTCATCTGCAACCTTTGTCGCGATGATTCAGCACAATGGCGGTGCAGATTGGGCGACGGCCCGATGTGTGGCCCCATGTTGTAGCGCGGACCGTTCCCGTCAGAGTGGAAGGCTTGTCGATGCTTGTGTCCAACTCTGAGCGCTATCTGGTCAACAAGATAGGAGCCACATATGCTGCTCTCAAGTTCGCCTCTTCGACAAGTTTATATGAAGCCTAGGACGCGGATTTCACTGTCGTCCTTGGGACTATGTGACCAATCGAGCACATGATTCACCGATCTACTTCTGGGCAATCAATACAGCCTATGTTGCTGCCTACCTTTTGCACCAATTGCGTGTATGCCTCAAGGGCAGGAAGAGGCAACGCGACGTCATACAACAACGGGTAGGGCTGATGTACCCCACGTCCGTCTTTCTCTCTTCCAGAAAAGCGCCACACGCGCCCTCCGCGCCTTCGACCAAAATCTGACATGTGTGAATAAGCAAGAATGATTAAAAATGCGGATTCGATCACCAGAAGGAGCCCTTATCACGCGGACATACACATTGCTGGGCGACGGGACAGGCTCATCCAGCCTTGTCGCATTATTAATCCAACACCATAGAGTTGCGTCTCTTGTTATCTTTGAGCTCCAGTTCCGCAGTACGTACATATGCATCTACAGACGTGTGTGGATTTGCTGTCAGCACCCCAAATCGCCACGTGACGTATATCAGCCTTGCTGACATCCTCGACAGCGAAGCAACCACCAGTATCAATGACCACATTGGGACACCGCCTCCCTTATTCCCGCTGACAGCAGGGCAAATGGCATTTTTAGAGCCTCAAGCTCCCCTGTTCCCCAGTCCCGTCAGCAAAGCGAAAAAAAGGTACCTGTTTGTCAGCTCTAAATACAGCACCTCCCCCGCGGAATTACCCCGCAAACCACTAATCGCACGGAAAAGATAGTACGAAGGGTTTAGGAAAATGGTCGGGCGCTATCTTTAGCAGAGGGTAAGGGAGGTGGTGACTAAGTCTGTTATCTCCCCTGGCATACATATGAAGTGTACACCCTACGCTATCCGAATATCGGTCGGCACAGCCCTAAAGCCATGGCAAACCGCACACCGCGGCATTCGCGCCTTTCCCCCCTCCTAGCCACGCAAACGCACATTTCTCCCTGAAGCGAGGGCAGTAGGAGGAGTCATGTGTGACACCTATCTTTTGAAGATGTGATGGCGGGAGAGGACTGTGGCGCGCGAAAGAGGGCAAGCGGCTTGCTTAGAAAGCGTCGGTGGGCCGAGGGATACCCGAAGGCTGTGATATACGCGCGTGCGCGTGCGGTTTGGGGTAATTAAGATTGGTTGGAGGTAGATTCGACGTGTAAGACTACTGTAAGAGTACATGGATATACCGAAGTTATGTTTTCGTGATTAGTTGCTGTACGATTGGCTATTGCAGTATTTTGAGGGAGTGTCGTGAGTGATGGAGATACAGGAATGAAGAGGTAGGAATTACATGTTTCATTTGGAGAAAGATAATTCATATGCATGTTCTCAATACCCTAATCATTTTTTGTAAAATTTGGGAGTTAGTTATCTGGAGGAGAAGATGTTTCTTATTCGAGGAAGCTGATGTTTCTTGTGTATAGTGAGCAGGGGTCTGTACCCTACGTCTACATACCAAGGAATATCTCACGGTCAGCTATAGCAGTACTTCCCCCTTATGCACAACTGTCTTATTCATGCACAAAGCCGCGAATACCTAAAGTCATATGCACGCATAAATGCATAACTATGCAGCCCTTCCCAACTTACCTAGTCCTCAAATTCCAGCCCCACTAATCCCTTCACCTCGGCCCATCAACCCGTCCATCCCACATCTATACGTAGTCCCAAGAACTACTCTTCAGCCATTACATCGTCCATCGCCACAATGCACAAAAACCCCTCTTTTTAGACTCTCTCCATCTCCACCGCAAGACAAAGTCTAGATTCATTTCCCATCCTCGGAATGACGTCACCACCACTCTCCACCACCCCCTTAGCGCCTTCCCCAAGACCAACCCCCCTAACTAGCATTAGTCTGTAGTCTCGGGAAAAGGACAAGCCGGAAAATGGCACAAACACCAAGTCGACTAAGCCGACTGCGAGTCAGTTGTGTGGAAATATGGCTTTCGTAAGTATTGCTATTAATATCAATACATCATGTAGACTTAGAACGCTAATGCATCGCAGATGGCCGGAGGTAAAAGAAAATACGAGGCCGAAAAAAAGTAGAATTTGTATTACCAGTCGACCGACTAGTTCGCGGACAAGATTGTGGTCTAGTACGGTACTATCGTCAGTAAGTTCGCGTGGACAAGAATAATTTCAAGCTCCTAGACCACAACAGCGCCAGCACGTACTCCTTTGCCGCCAACTAGAAACAGTGGCAAAACGTGGGCCACTACACTTGATTGCAATAAGAAGTGGTGATTACTTCCTAACTCAATTTGTGGCAGGGCCGGAGGCGTAGAAGGTACTGGTCATAACCTTCCTGGCTTCTTCGTCACTCCACTCTGGCTGCTCCCGGTAGTGGATATTGTTGATTGAGCACTCTGCCACAAGACCATTCTTGCTTGGATCGGCTAAGAATCCATCCACAGCGCGCACAACGGTTGAGAGAGGCGTCATTAACTTCCGCATCGCATCTGTCACTAGCACACCACTTATACCGGTATCAACCGCGCCTAGCATATCGTTAAACGGATTCTCATAGGATGAAACTAGCTGTGCATCCACATACCTGGGCATATACAGTTGACAGTCATATGTTCCCCTTTCGCTGCGAGCGTCTGGGCTAGGGTTCTAGTTATGCCGACGACCTAAGGAAGATTGTCAGTGCCTGAAAAGTAAGCATATTTGTGTCTGGGCCTCCGTGGGACTTTACCCCATGCTTTGCAGCTGTGTACATCGGAAGCTGGAGTGACGGATAGAGGCCACCCATACTCGCTGTTGAAACTAGCTTCCCAATTCCGCCAGGATTCTTGCGGAAGTAGTGGACTGCAAGGTATGCCGAGTAAACTACACCAGTCAAGCAGATGTCAATGACTGAGGTATCCGGTTTCACGGGCGCGCCATCTTCTCGTTCCTTGGCCGGCTCGTACATATTGGTCCTGTCGAGAATGCCCTTGGGTTTCCGTCAGCAAAGAATAAAACATGAAAAAAAAGACATGAACCACAACAGCGAAAGACAAAAGGGTAAATCTGACCGCATTGGCAAATACAAAATCCAGTCACGACCATTGCTTCCACGTCGCGACAAAGGCGCTGGCCTGCTGGTCGTAGTCCGAAACATCAGCGCGCGTAAAGAGAACCTTCTCCTCTCCAAGATCCCGTGCTGCTTTCTTCCCGCTCTCTTCGTTGTAGTCGACAATCATGACGTTCCAGCCTTGCTCAACAAGGTGCTTTGCAACAAATAGCCCTATACCCGAGGCACCACCCGTAATGAGCGCCCCCTGGGCAGATGCCCGTTCAGTAGAAGTCATTGCTTTTCAATGATTTGAGGGAGTCTTGTGAAGGGGGGAGAAGTAGGCGAATGACCCTCTAACCATGGGACAGAAAAGAAACCACGAGCGTGTTTGCAACCTTGTATGGTGTCAAAAACGAACTATATATGTACGTGTACAAAACTCTGGCCGTCGCTATCACTCATACTTACCCACACTCTACCTTGAACATTCCTCTCGGGCCTTTTTCCCCACACGAGTATAGTACTACTAGGCTTGGCATCTGCTCTACTGGACTACATTGTAAGTAGCAGACCCCATGCTGTCAAAACGCCGTGAAAAGCGCGAAAACAACGGCATGTAGTTAGAAGCCAATTAGAGCTCAAGACGGATGTGTCGGCCAAGAGTGCTTCACTCTACGGACGAAAAGATTCTTAGTGCTGTAAAATATTATAGGGTTATAGTCTGTCAGCTTTTAATGGCTAGCACTACGTGTTCTACGTCCTTTTGCAGTTTTATCCTTGAAAGATATGAGAAAACGATGTGCTGAGTATATTCTTAGTATGATTGTGGTGTCCCAAAGCTCCGAAGCTCCCCTTTCCTTTCCCCCCTCCAGCGCATTATCGATTTTTGGGTACGTAGCGTACTCGACCCTCTTTTGGCCTCCAGAAAATGCCGTCTCACCAGACAAAAAGGGAGTTACGTATACACAGTGCAATACAAGTAGCAAATACTAGCTAGAAAGTAGGCTGCAAAGTCCTATACAAGCCCCATTCCCCCCTCCCCCCTTTTATCCCTGTTTACACCATTCGAACACCGTTATCCATACAACCACCACCACAGATGTTTTGCTCGAGAAACACATGAATAGGAGGAGCGTTTACTTGGCAACTAGCTACTACTCTTACTCCCCCCCCTTTCTATGGACCAAAAAAATATCAAAGTCGGATGGATAGTGATGAGAAGAAGAAAAAAACGGACTAGGTGTGCAAGTTTGGTACGCCGGAAGATGGGGGACGGGGGACGGGGACGGAAAGTGGCGGGAAGACGGGAACTACGGAAGCTCACCTCCTCCTTCTCCTCCTCCTCCTCCTCCTCCTAAGATCGACGAGAAACGGATTTTGTTACACTACGTACGAATTCTATGTTTTGGGCGGACGAAAGCGTCGGTGGCTGGGTGTGGTGATTCCTTATACACTGCACAAGTATAGTGTTACATACAGAGTACACGTTTGCGGGTTAGTGCGGATGTGGTCGCCGCTGACAGACTAAAGGGTTGTTCGCTAAGCGAAAGTGTGGGTGAGAGGAACTTGTGTTAACGGCGGTGTTGGTCGGGGAAATGGGGAGGGGGTGGGCGGCGGGGGAAGAGAGCGTGATTGTGGGGAGAATTGCCACGATGAACTACCACGTATACACGATGAAACGCACGAGAAGCCTGCGAGTTTCTGCATGGTGGTTTGAGGGAATTGTTTCCAGCCATACGCGTGCTTGCATGCTGAGTTGGGCGCGTTGGGCTCTTGTGTTGCTCATCACGAGGGGGGGAGGAAGACGCATGTGTTGTACACATATGTAATGTAATGGCGTTGGGCAACGGGGGGGGGGACACACCCCTCGTCCCATGGAAAGCTGTATGCCGGCGTACAAGTTGACATGGCAACTCTTTTTTTGTGCCGCCGGTCGGAACTATTGTGAAGGCGGATCTGCAATGCGCAGTAGGGGGAGAGAAAGACAGGATGTATGGGCAGGTGTGCATAAGCTTTGGGCAGGGAGAGTGTGAAGAGCACCGTACATGCACTGCCGGAACAGGGACAACCGTGGCTATTGCTGCCAAGGCAGGTTTGCAACAAAGTAGAGCGGTGGACTGACTAGAGACCTGCGGCATCAGTTGCCGTGGCTTGTGTTATCCCCACCCTTCGCACGGCTGCCCATTTTTGCAACACCAAGATTCATGCTTTTGTCTTCTTGGCCAAGGGGCGCTTGTGCGCATGGTCATGGCGTCGGCTCGTCCCAAAGCGGAACCAGAACGACTTTTGCGGTGCCGAAGCGGCGACACCTTCGGAGCAGAGCACCACGATCTCTGCTTAGTACTATTTTCTTCCGTAATCAGCCTCGTAAAACTCTACTAAAGTAGATCTCTTGAACTACCACATACGAAATAAACCGTAAATCTCCACGATCAAACTCTACGCCAGATCTTAACGGCCCTCTGTGCACAACTACGTATTTTTACTTCCCTTTCACACGGAAGCACGCACATTGGGACTACCTACTTTTACCCAGCCACAGACGTCACTTTGCAGCGGCCCTCCGTCTGTTGCGCTGCACAGCGACTCAACCTACTCGGTTCAAGAAAAATCCCACCTTGCATGGCAAACACGTTCTAGCCGCCCCCCCTTGCGATTGCGCCCTCCCTGTGACCTACTCCGCGGCCACTCACGTTGGGGGGAGGGGGACGCGATCACCAGCCAAAACTGCGATCGCGGCGCTTGTCTAGACCACATGCTCTCCCCCCTCCCCCCAGCCAGGCCCCTCTGATGTTGCATCTTATTGTCGATCTGCGTGTCTGGACTCTATGTCTCTTGTCTGTTTTTTTTCATGCTGGCTGGGCTGGCCCTGCTCTTCCATGCTCTCTCCCTATGTGGAGTCCTCTTACGCTCTTCAGGTACCTGGGGGGAACAAAGCCGACGCGGAACCGCAGTTCACTCTCTCTCTCTTTTTTCGCCTCCCTTTCTACCTAACGTTTTGGTTCCCGGGAAAGGGAGGGAGAGGGGACGGCACGCTAGTTCAGAGAATTTAGTGTCAAAAGTGATGGGCGCTGCGGAACTACTTTTGGATACGGATGCGACGTAGGCCCTTCGGCGTCGCTTTTTTTGAGGGGGTTTTTTGCTCGTAAAAACGTGTCATGCCGTGATTATACCGTTTTGTTTTCCGCGAAGGCCTAAGCAAAAGGGAGGATAATAGCTCGGGGAATAAAAAAAAGGGAGAAAGGAGTGATAAAGGACAAAAAGGAGAGTGAGGCGAGCGGTTCGGGGACCTCGTGTTCTAGGCGAGGCTGTGGGGACGGAATCCTGGCCTCTATCTTTTTTTTTCTTTCTTTGCATATCTGTTCTTACGTATGGCTTCGCTTTCTGCTCGCTTCTTTGCTATCCCCGCAAAAAATCAACACGCAAGGGAAAAATAAACGAGGCTGAATATTGGGGTGAGAGGGTCTTTGCTGCAAGTCATGCGTCACGCGTAGCGGGAATAAAGTTCAGAAAAAAACTTGGTCAGGTGAGGTGGGTTCAAAGACGTTGGAGTGCATTTGGTGTGATTGTGTTTCATTGCAAGTGCAATAGGGAAAGAGAGAGCTCGCGCCTCGGTTTCCAAACCGACCCAATCATGGGTATATGCCAAGTTTTCCTCCAAGAGTAGCCTGTATTGGGGGCGGATGGGTGCATGGCCCCAATCGACGCCACATCATGCACACCCTGTCTGCCCAAAACGCCTGCAACCGACTCTTCCCGAACAGAAGAAAGAACAAGAAAACAAAAAATGTGAATTGAAAGTGTAGCCGTGTATGAATACAAAGTGTATAGAGAGAAAAGACAGGAGAGAAGGAAAACGTCCAGAAAATCTCGCATGCCCGTGTAAATGCTAACCAAGTGCGCTGTCCCGCGCCGGTAATCCCCTAGGATAGGCCAAAGCCAAAGTCGGCCCAAAAGGTGGGAGAAGGAAGTGTTGCCAGAACACCTGTCGTCAAAGTCGCTAATGTCTGAATAAAACTCGTATTGTCGTGAAAGGAGGATGAAGTTGCATGTTGCTTCGCAAACGGACTATTGTGTCCTTGTTGATGTCGACGAGTTGTTGAGTTGAGATAGAGACGCGAACGAGTTTGTCATTGCCGAGTAGGCAGCTGATGGCAGTGCGTTGGTTGAAGATGTGGATGAGGCACTGTTGCTTCGGACTTGAAGGTTGAGAGTGTGGCAGCTGTCGCATCGATCGTTGAGGCGGTTGCAACGGCCTCGGCAGCCTCGCTCGTAGTTGGCGCAGGAGAACATTGTGATGTTGAAAGGGTTGAGGTGTTGTCGAGTGTAGTGATGGATAGTGGTAGCAGTGGTAATGATGACGATGTGATGTTGTGGTAGCGTAGAGTGGCTGCGTTTATGTATTGCTCGGATTTAGTAGCGTGTTGGCCTTTAGGGAAATCTTCAAGCCGAGGGCGAGACTTCGTAATATATGGGGCAGACGATAGTGAACGCCCGATGATGTAGACGGGCAGTTGCAGATATGCAGGGTAATTATTGCGTACTTGGGCCGAAAAAGTAGCCGTAATCGATGGTGTCAGTTGGCGTCGCTTGGGTGCATGCAGAACGGGCCCAATATAGTGCCTTCAGTTGCCGAATCTAGCCAGGGAGAAAATGGATAGTCGGGCTGACAGAGTCGAGAGATAGCAATAAATAGGATTGATGTGCGAGCAAGATGTGTATGTGTGGGTGTGTATGTGTGTGTGTGTATGTGTGTGTGTGTGTGTGTGTGTGTGTATGTGTGTGTGTGTGGACAGGCGGCTTATATCTTGCTTGAGCTTGCAGATTAGGAGGAAGTTGCAGGCCTGGAAGCTAGTAGTGCTATCTCTTATATCCAGACCTGACGTACTATATGAAGGCAAAACCTTCCGTAACGCTGGAGGCTGCAAGAGGCTCATGACAGTTGACGCGTCCAAGGGAAGAGTGTGTCATCGTAGATTATACAGTGGAGAGACCCGCGGCCAGACTGCACTTGGCCAGTGCGTTCTCACTCGTCAGCCCAGGGTCTCCGCCGAGACCCTGGCCTCGTTGCCCATCGACCCAACCCAGCGCCCAAATCTTGATTTCTGCCAAAGCCGTGACTTCCGGCAATCATCATCCTGTGGCTTGCACCAAGCCATCCTCTCACCGGACTTGGACGGCGTACAAACCTACATACGTACCCAATACTCGCCCCGCCGCGAAGACTGACGTTTCCCGCCATTTGGTGACTCTGACATTGTGCTGGCAGCCTGGAAGGGGACGTGCCATACCAAGCGACTGTTTCAAGCGACGATGTGCTACAGGGACCGGGCTGGTAAGCTATGTTTCGCACAATTTCTCTCAGGCGGCCTTACGGGGCTGAGGGCTTGCTGTGTACTTGCCCACCGCAGAAACGTGCATCTGTATTCGTCCTCACCTTCGTCCAGGCGTGCCAGAAGCCTCTAGAGCACACCTAAGCCCTTTGCGATTACGCAGTGCCGCAGTCTAGGCGTCTCACCCTTCACATGTCGCTCGTCTGCCATGACCTCTCCTGACCTTATTTACCCGGCCTGCAGCTTACAAAGGTCAACAATTGCCGTCAAAAGGCACCAAATCTCGGACTTTGATAACGATTCCACGTCCGATCTCTGCCGCGTGGGTGCGGATGCGGACTGCGGACCCTCCTACCGCTCTTCGCCACTCCTCACCATGTCCCGTTCGCGGCTCGAGGCATTAATTATGAGGATCAGCGTTCCCACCTATAGAACCAGACTTCCGCCTTGTGGCCTTACACCGCATGTCCGACACACATCCTCCGCACAATCTGGCCAGATTCTGTGGAGCGTGCAATCTTTCTGCTGCTGTGGAAATTTGGTCCACGCTAATACCTGGTTCGCCTGGATCCGTAGCCACGCAACCATTCCCATACTCTTGCTTGTTGGCCAGCCAGCCAGCCCCGTTATTTCCGCGCGGCCATATGCACCTTTTGTTTCTTTTCCCATGGGAAAGTCGCTTTGGGGTCGGTGTGAGCGACCCGATGAGCTGGGCGAGACTACTGCTGGCAATCAACGGTCTGATATCTTGTCACGTGAGTAGGCAGACAAGATTGTATCCACGCCACACCCTCGCCACGTGTTTCTAGTGGCCTCTAGTTTCATTTTAAAAGCACCGACTAAGATAAAGCCGTTAAAAGCATGCCATATATCATGCGTCTTGTTAACCTTATCCTCTAAGCTTTGTCAAAAACCATGGCCACTAAGAATCACCAGTAATAGTGTATTGCTCTTTGACTTTGGTACGTACGATATCTCGTACGACATCCCCTATCGGCCCTTGGAGGCAAAAGCCGAATTTGCACATGCTTGGAGAGTGATCGGGAAGCTTCGACATTCTTGTTATGTTGACTACTGCCGTGTACTACGTTTCGACTATTTCGAGCTCCTCGGCCTTATGAGAAAACTAGGTAAAAAGAGAATGTTACCATTGCAATGGTGCAACTACCGACAATCAACATGATACAACTTGACAATATTGTTCGCTTACTTCTCTCACCCGTAAGCCGGCAGATGCGTACAGCTTCGCGCAACTACTTACAACCTTCATTTTGTGACGATTGACTTACAATTAATGCGATGCTGAAAGTGCATGAAATCGCTTGAACATGTTCGAATTCCATGAACTGACACGCACATATGGATGATCACACGTGCAAGTTTGGCTGTTGGGTTAAACTCAGCGATTGAACTACAGGTTGCGTTCGGGGTGAGATTAGGTTCCGTCAAGAAAGTAAGAGCACATGGCGGCATTGCGTAAATATATCGATTGCTCCGTAACAAAATTCAAGGCGTCAATCCGAGAGTATTCTACTATCAGCCTATGGAGGCGTTGGAGTCGCCATCACCGGTGTCCGCCAGTAGGCATGTGCTTCCATAGCAGGGGTGGCTGTCGAAGAGGTGTCATCAAGGCATCTGCCAAACCATCCTTTAGTAGTACAGGTCGTCGTGGTTGGCTCACTGGATGTAGTCGTAATAGTAGCAGTGGCCGTAGTGGTTCCTGTTGTTGTTACGTCTTTGCAACCAAACCAGCCAGGCTGTACAAGTTAGCAATCTTTGCAAGATTGGTCAACCAGGGATACCTACAGTCTGACAAGTGCTTGTACTCGTTGTAGCAGTCGATGAGCTAGACGATGTTGTTGACATCATGGTAGTTGTCGCATCCCGGCATCCCCACCATCCAGGCGTCTGGCATGTTTCTGTCCGGGTTCTTGAATAGGTGGTGCTGGTTGCTGTTGAGCTCGTTGTCGGCTGCTTATGTGTGCCGTTTTCGAACTTCCACAAGTAACAATCAACACACCCTACATCCTCTTCCAGACATGTTGCCGCTTCGTCGTATTTCATGTAAACGTTCTCGATGGCGTACCTCAAGCTGTGCGTCTGTGTGCTTTGCCTCCAACCCCAATCTTTAACCACGTCGTATGCACACTTCCTTCCGGTATGGCAAAGGGTTTCGAATGCATAGCCGCCAATTGAGCAAAAGCTTGTAGCTCCATTACAAGTTCCCATGTACACCGGGTCAGCTGTGTGCCCAAAATGAAAGACTCCTGTATCTTTGCTAGGTGGAGCAACGTCACTAGCTGCCGGTAGTCCTAATCGCTTCGCTGCCAGAGCCTGGGGATACGCCTCAAATGTCACAGCAGGAATGCCATGTTGGAGACTGATCAAAGATGCAAGTACTCCACCTAAACTATGTCCTGTCGTCATTACGTGAGAATTCGGATAGAGCTTCATCACTTCTTGATAGAGCTCAAGAGTTGCGACATAGTACCGGTTTGGCTTCCGCAGCTCGCCCTTTACACATTGTTCATCGCAGGTATAGGTACCCGTTTGACAGTCACACACTTGGCGCCACAGGTAGGTACCACCCTGACCGCAGCAACAGGATCCGTAAAGGTTGTCGTTTTCCTTGTCGTGCACAGAGGTTCCGTTGCCTTCGAACATGGCTACCGTAGTTCCTTTAACGGCCAGAATGATGGTGGAGTTGGTGTCATCGCTGAATACATGGCCGCGGATGCCGCTATCATCCCAACCGAAGGGAACGGAAGTGTCATAGTCTTCATCCACATCCATCCACCCGGGGTCATCGCGGCCGACCTTGTACGCATCCTCTGACATGTTTGCAAAACTGATGATGGTTTCCTTATCTTTGATATCCGGACCCGGGATGTCTTCGGCCATCCAAATGGGAGACATGGGTATCTGGCTATCATAGCTGTTGAACGATGGCCTTTGGATCTTTACTGGTGCTGTCTTGATGGCGAAGGGTCCGACATGAGAATCAACACCGGCAGCTGCAAAGTGCTCCGGTGTGACATCAAACCTTCTCGCACGCGGCCCAGGTTGGCCGACACCATGATTTATGACATGTCGCAATCTGAAGCTGTTTGGCCTCGGTGATGAATTGGTAGTTGCCGCGTCCGCTAAAGCCGTGGACCCACGGGAGTGGCCAAAGCCGGTATAGGCCCAAAAGATACCCGCTATCAGAGCGAACTGCACAAGGATACCAACGGCAAGGAGAGAACGCGAGGGCCTGCCTCGAGTATTATGAGATGAAGTGTAAAATGACATGATATGGGAGCACTACAGGAGAGATGAAGGGGCGAGTGCTGAGGGTGTTATGATAAGCGCGTCGACGACGGCCAAGTCGCCGCCTTCCGCACGGTCGTGGCTCGTGATCGAGACGCTACAACCAAACAGGTTAGTCGGCTTTCCACGTCATCTGCTTTCACCCACGCGCACCGCTCATCTGCTGCCTGGACATTCTGTTATCTCATGTACGATCAAACTCAACGCTTGCGGACGGTAAAGGACTACTCTACTGTCAAGACTTGCAGCGTTGTACTGGCATGGTAGCCTGGGCATCCCGAAAGCGTAAGAAATCGATGCAAGCTAATGCATCGTGTCCGTCTCCAGCCTAAAAACAAGCTAATAATGTTCGACTGCTATCTAGCTGTGCTTTTCATTTACCAAACATTTTTGGATTTTTGTTGTGCACGACAAGTCCAGATTACGAAATGACGAGGTTCAGTCCGTGTAGGTAAAGCACTCATGTAGACCGAGAAGCGGTGTTTGCAGGAGAGCAAGAACACCCAACTATTTTACTAATGCTGTTGAGCTATGTTGCGAAGTTCGGCGGGGAAAAAGCAATGCCACTATAATTACAACGAGTTGATACCTCGTAGGACTCTCAATATTAGTGATCCTCTTCTCAGAGTAAAGACAGGTTCCTCTTGTGATTCGTCTTCAAACGCCAAGCCAGATTCAAGGATTTCATGCTGGAATGTAGATGATTTTGAATCACCAGCTATTGTGGGTCCTCTAGTCAGCCACTCAGCCCGACTAGTGAAACGTATAGGAGATGTCGAGCCATACGGGAAGATGTTTCTGGTATCGAGACACCTGAAAACCCGCTTTAACAAGCATGCTATCAGTTGGCACAATATCTGATGTCGTGCTACCGCTTGTGGTGGCTCCGTGTCATGATATCGTAGATCCGGAACGTCTACTTTAGCGAATCATTTTCACTGTCCGTCCGTGATGGTTGGGGACGAAGATGAGCCGGCAGCTTCCGAAATTGGAGAAGTCTAATACAGGATGCCGAACTGCTGAGGTTTGGTGGTGTTTAGTATTACCACTGATTGCACCTTCTGGCCCGTAGTGCGTTACTGTTTGCTGTGAAGCCTCCACCCTTACACACTCATACTTTGACACCTCTACGTCGCTTCTGCTTTCGAATCCTCAGCGTCCGGACAAGATTGACGATAATCATGACCGCCATGATGGCGGTGATGGCAAGAATACATGCGAGCGGCGCCAGAATAGAGAAAACCGAAAAGACGAAGGATGCCATACTAAAGGAGTGGTTGTCTCCGAGGGACTGTGTGGAGAGCCCGACCTGCATCGCCGAGAGGACAATCGTCGTGTATGCGAACCAAGTGATGAGGCTGTTGATATTCTCCCGCATGAACGATCCATACGTGGTACAGCCGCTAAGATACCCACGTATCTCTCCCATGACCAAGCGGTATATCCAGTTCAGCCGCCCAAGACGTAGCTCGCCATATATGAAACGTTCATTGATGCCTATGTGGCCTTCCATGATATTTACCGACGGAGCGAGGGCCGAGTTGAAAGGTACTGCTTGAGGCAGGGTGCAGATAATGTCGCTCACGAGCGTCAACCACACGGCCCATGTTATCTCTTTGGGAATGAGTCCATGGAAGATAGCCAAGTTGTAGTCGACCTCTCGTTCGATGAGCGCAACATACGATAACATGAAACCAAGTGCTGTCTTGTACAAATGTGGACGCGGACAGATTTCGGTTTGCCAGAATACCTGGCAAAAAAGGAAACGGGGTAATGGCTTAATGAGTATCGAGGAGGACTTGGAAGAGGACCAGATGAGATGCAAATCTAGTTGCTCCGTCACCATAATCTCCCTTCCTTTGACGATCTGGTAATGGAGTGGTCGGGGTGCTGTGGGGAGTCCGACAAGCCATAGCCAGTTATGTATCTCGTTCAACCTCCTGACATTGAGTTCGATATCAAGAAATGCGCCAATATCGGCGCTGACAGGCTCGACCCTATAGTTTTTGCGGAACGTTGCTGGTAGTAAAGGCACCTCTGGCTGTACGATGCCATTGGGATTTGAGGTTTTCAGGGGCGCCGTGCGAAATGGCACAAGTAGCTGTTCACTCGCAGCTTGCGAATACATTTTTTCGAGCGACATTCGATCGAGGGGTAATCGACGGTCTTGCTAGAAGAGAGGATAGTAGCACCAAAGAGAGCGAGACGGCGCAATCATCTAGAAAACCATGGCGCGCCGCGGATGCCCACAGTGCCACAGCGGCAGAATGGTGCGGGAGATTTCTCGCCTAGCCCTGTCTCGTAAAGCTGGGAGTTGTTCCAAATTGCCGAGCTTAATTGACATTGCTATACCAAAAGGGTGCACGCCAGTGCTGACAAACAGAGCGACGTCTTTCTCCTTTGGGAACTTTCGCCCCCAAATTCTTTCCGCCCCCAACATCAGGGCGTAAGTAAGTATATGCCAAGGCCTAGGTCCAATATGGAAGAGCCTCCGAATATTCCAATCGCGCATTTCTTCTACGACAGATAACGAAAACAAAGCGATCTTTGCTTTTCAATACACACTGCAAACTCGTAGATTAAGTGTTCGCGATGGCTTCGGCCGCGAAAGCTCCGCATTCGAAGTTCGATGCCCAGGTTAGTAGTGCCAATCTGTCTCTATGCAGTTGCTGAAGAGATAGTCTTTCAACCCCGGATTGAATGTCGTATATCCAAATGATGAACAATCGTCGGTCAAGTCGTCGGCCAAGGTCGAGTATGTCACCATGCGTGCCATTTTGAACTTGAATAACAAATGCTTGCAGAATCATTGCCATCCCTGGCCTAGGGGCGGACCCTGAATACACATGGAAGAAAGACAAGGTGCATTGGCTGCGAGATGCCAACATGCTGCCAAAAAAGATCCCACATGCCAAGATTAGCGTCTTTCAGTACCAGTCACAATGGTTTGGAAAGGGATCTGTCGATGAACGGATAGATAATGTGGCAAACAAGCTGCTTCACAGTCTAGATCGCTCAAGAGTAGTGGGTGTTGAATGCCACCTCATCTGATTCCCTGCTGATATCCATCAAGAACGAAGCAAAAACACCTATTATCTTCATTGCTCATTGTCTGGGTGGCATTATCTTGGAAAAGGCTCTACTCATGGCACGGTCGCGTCAAAGAGACTTCCCAAATGTCTACCCTTGGGTTGCTGGCTGCTTCTTCCTAGGTACGCCATTTCATGGCACATCCAGTCAGTCAAAAGCACTAATTTTGGCATCTATGGCTGAGCTTGCTGGCTGGGGCACTCCATCATCCCTTCTCAAAGTCCTTGAAAAAGACTCAGAGATCCTGCGAAGTATGCTTACCGAATTTTCTTTCATGGCGAGAGATGCTCAGATTCGGCTACTTTGCTTCTGGGAAGAAAACGACAGTGACCTCGTCAACTATATGATCAAAGGTATCTCGTGGCTCAAAAAGAAGGAGCGCATTGTTGATCAAGATTCTGCAACCATCGAGTCATTTGAGAGCCTCTCCCTCATGTCGGATCACTTTCAACTGAACAAGTATCCCGGACCAAAGGATGGCAACTTCACTGCTGTATCCGACGAGATCAGAGAAATAGCAAACAAAGCAGACAGTATCATCAAAACGCGCCAAAATATGCTTCGGCAATCACAGGTAGATGACCGCACGTACCATAGTATGATAGATGCTTTAGGAAAAGGATTTGTGGATATTGAAGCAGCCATGAAGGGCTCCTACCGGGAAGCGAAAAGCGTCAAACTCTCATCAATTCTGGAACTTGCCAATTTCCAGCAATGGAGAACTTCGGATACCAATCACGTTTTCTGGATTCATGGCAAGGCTGGAACAGGTCAAGGTGCTATCGCATCTTCGGCTCTCGAGTACCTAAAGCAAAGTGTTGACTACAACTCATTAGTTGTATCTTTTTACTGCGACCAAAGTGACAGGATGAGGCGCACTTTGAAAGGGTTGTTACAAATCATTATTCGTCAGTTGCTAGATATTGACCAAGACCTTGCACGCCACCTCCTCCTGGACTCTCAGGGCAGCAGAGACGTCGCGAACCAAATATTTGACCCGGAAGAAATGCTGAAGATACCTGCACTGTGGACGGCCCTGCAAAAAATGGCCGAGGATACCCGCAACTGAAGGATATACATCATTGTCTATGGCGTAGAGCAACTAGCGGAGGATTCATTGGAACACTTCCTTGCATACATGGGAGGAGCGATTGAGCCCACAACTGCGACCCACAATGACGGAGATTTTCGGCCTATCAAATGGCTTCTACTTAACCGCAGTGGTCGTCCGAGCATTGAGAAATGCTTGAAGGGCAAGGTCCCAGAAATTGATCTTAACGATGCAGACAACTCCGCTCAAGTCAGCGACGACCTTAAAGCACACATATCTGTGCGTGTGGACGAACTTGGCCTTCCAGCTTCTTTGGCATATTTTGTGAAACGTCACGTTTACCTTCGCGCTGAAGACAACTGGATTTATGTCAGTCTCGTCGTACGAGAATTGAAAAACGCATGGAAACCAGGACGTACGCACTATGCTGAGATTAGGAAGCTGCTGGAGTCATTCCCGTATGGTCTCACGGACATGTTTGAACACATCCGAAAGCGGATTCTCAGCCCACAAGCCGAAGGATACGAATACACAAAGGAGATACTGCGTTGCCGAGTCCTATCATACATAGCCCCAATGATGCGAGAGCTTGCCGTCATGGCTGGATTGCCTCATGACGACCTAGAAGATCTTGAGAAGCTGAAAGAATACATCGTGCGATGTGGAGCGTTCCTTACCTTGAGAGGCAATGACTGGGATCTGGACAACAGTACTGTTGAATGGATCGATATATCTGCTGCAGAACACCTTGCAGTATACGCCAAGTATGATCTTTCGTTGGACCTCGACGATGTGCAGCACGGTATCATTGCTCTACGTTCATTGGAGTACATTTATCAGGCCATCGAGGTACAGGATGTATCTGTCGACGATACCGAGCAAGAAGAGATTGAGGACGCCGTTGATGCAGAGAACGCACTACATGAAGAAGACACTGACACTGATGAATCAGACTCTGACGATATGAGTGATACATCCTCAGACCAGGGAGATGACGAGAGCCAAGACCTACTTGATGTCGACCTCAGATATCCCGTTCGTTATTGGGTGGAACATGCGAAACGGGCGCCGCCCGATGTTCTCGAGGAATTCAACTTTAACCACCCATTTTGGCAGAAGGACTCGGAAGCTCGTCAGAAGTGGTGGAATACTATCCGGGAAGTACACGGTATGGAAGGCCAGCAAGACATTTCCTCCCTTCACGTGGCAGTGATCCTCGAATTTCCTGCTTTGGTTGATCATCTCATAAACCTCAATGGAACCCCCAACGTACATGAGCAAGACTCCTTAGGTTTTCAACCTCTCTTCTATGCTTGTAACAACGGAAACGAAGAGATCATCAATATTCTGCTTGGCGCAGGTGCAGATGTCGATTTCGTAAGCTCCGATGGAAGCCCAACAGCATTGCATGCTGCCTGCAGGAATGGCCACTACGATGTTGTCAAGATATTACTGGACCGTAACGCTAACGTAAACTCTATATCTCCTGAATATGGAACGGCGCTCTATGCAGCTGTTGGTAGTCTTGATAACCGCATTGTTGAGCTTTTGCTGGATCGCAATGCCGAGGTAAATATTCCTGGTGGACCGCATCAACGAGCGCTGAACCTCGCCGCGTTTTCTGGAAATATGGATGCGGTGCGTATCTTGATTGAACGGGGAGCAGACGTTGATCCGGATGAGGAGGGGTATTGGTACGTAACAGTCATATTTAAGCCAACACCGGAGCGTACACTGACTAGTATTACCAAAATATAGGTATGGCTCTGCACTTGGTGCAGCTGTACGGCGCGGACATGCTGCCGTGGTTCGCTATCTTCTTTCAAAATCGTGGGACCCGCATCTTGACATAGAAACCTACAAAAGTTTCCTGAGCGCTGCAGCCACCTATAATCACTTGGAGGTCGTTGAGATATTGTTGAAGGATGAAGAACGAGTTTTGATTCTAGAACAAGCCTTACAGGCAGCTGCTCAGAAAGGTTACGCTTCAATCGTGGCTGCGATATTGAACCGGGTTTTAGAGCTCTCGTCTTGCTCGCTAAGACATCAGAGGTCATTCTCACTAGCGGCTTTCTACGGTAGAACGGAGGTCTTGAGATTGCTGTATCCGCGAGGGATCGACCAAGTACAGCTCGATAAGGCATTGTACGAAGCTACCGACAACAAACATCTGGAGACAGTTAAGCTTCTTTTGGAGTTCGGTGCGGACCCCAACGTCGAAGGTCCTATGTAAGTGTGCCAAGCAAGTATTATAATCAAACGCTGACCGATCCTAAGTTACGGATTCGCATTAGCAGCCAGCGCGTAAGTATGAGCTGTCATCAAGCCTTTGGAGGATTATGGATGATTTCTTCAAATATCCCTCAGCGAGCTCTCTGCGAGGGGTTGCATACCAAACCTTCACTTTTGTCGGACTACCCACTTCTGGCCACTAACTCAGCAGAATTCTTGAGCTTACGACTGATCATTGAAATCGTGCTGACTATAATGCAGGTACGACGGTACGATGGAGATCATGAAAGCCCTGCTAGACAAAGGAGCCGATGTCAATAAACGTGGAGGAGACTATGGTACAGCTCTTCAGGTATGTCTTGAGATCAACTTAGCAATTCGTTGATGCTGACTCCTTAGGCGGCTGCATGGTTCGGCGATGCCGACAACGTGAAATTGTTACTGGATCGTGGAGCCAAAACCAACACTGAACCCATTGGCTACTACAGCCATGAGCTACAAGGTATATGTCCGGTTCTGTAACAATGCCTCTCACTAATCTGAGATATCTAGCCGCCGTACATACAGGTAATGAAGCCACCATTCGCCTCCTTATCGACCATGGAGCGGATGTCAATGCCTTTGGGGGCCACTTTTCATACGCGATCATTGCAGCAGTTGAGCAAGGTGATAGCACTGCGACCAGAATACTGCTTGAACACGGTGCTTATGTGAATGTGCGTGGCGGCGAAGACAACTGGCCAGTGATCTCACTCGCTGCCTCAACTCTACTCACAGAAGATCTGGGGCTTATCATCAAGAATGTCTCAGACATAGATGCAGCCTGCGCTAGGGGAACAACTGCCCTGATAAACTGCGCAGATGCGTGCGATATCGAAGGCTTGAGATTTTTATTGGCGCATGGCGCTGATGTGCATATCTCGAGCGAGAAATATGGCACTGCACTTCACGCTGCTGCGTAAGTATCTAGCCTTATAGCTTAAGCGCCGCTGACAAAAATATAGCGCCGAGGGCGATGAAGATTGTTGCGAAGTCTTACTCGAAGCGGGTGCTAATGTCAATGCCATCGGAGGCCCATATGGGACAGCTCTGCAGGCCGCTGCGTGGGCGGGCGACATTGAGACTATCCATGTCCTGGTTAAGGCAGGTGCCGACATCACAATCACTGAACCCATTTCTGGTACATATGGAACAGCTCTCCAAGCCGCATGTGCTGCTGGCTGGTTAAACGTTGTGCAGGAACTTTTGAAGCACCATGCCGCAGTTAATGTCCGACCAGCTAATGGCATGTTTGGGGGAGCACTGTCTGCTGCCGCAGCTGGTGGACATAGAAAGATTGTGAAGCTCCTTATCAAACATCATGCCGATGTCAATGCCAGTGGAGGTCTTCACGGCTTCCCGATCCTTGCTGCTGCGCAGTCTGGTGTTCTATCCGTCGTCGAGCATTTACTCAATAACGGCGCAAATGCTACAGCTTCAGGGGGCCTGCTTGGATCGACAGTAGCGGCTGCTGTCAAAGGCAATAATATTGAGGTTGTCAGAAAGCTAATAGAACACGGAGCGGATGTCCATGCGAAGGGAGGCAAATACGGCGACGCTCTTCAGACAGCTGCGATGAAAGCCGACTTACCTATGATCAACGAGATTCTCAGCAGGGCAATAGAGCTTGTCAACCATAAAGACGGCAAGTATCACACAGCTCTGATTGCAGCTTCTTACTTCAACCATATGGATGTCGTCAACAAGTTGCTGGACGCTGGGGCAGATTTCCGTGTTCAAGGAGGGATTTATCGGAGTGCCATCGCTGCTGCTTCCCTCCGTGGGAACAAAGCTATCCTGGACCGATACCTGACTATGAAACCTCCAGATCATCTGCTCGATGAAGCACTCATCGAGGCTTGCGCCTATCGTCAAGCCGCTTGTGTGGATGCTTTGCTTAAAGCAGGTGCTAATGTATACGCTCGCCATGAAACTCGGGGGTCCGCATCTGACGCTATTGATGCGCCCGAGGAAGAAGATTACAATTCTGATCTCGAGGAAGACAACTTGGATTCCGATGCTGAATCGGAGCATGATGAAGTCGAAAAGGACAACGAAGACAAGGAGGAGGAGAAATGGGTAGGTGACAACGTCTTGGTATCTGGTCAGACGGATGAGGGCAGTGTAACAGACTTGCAACTGGAAGAAGATGATTCTGAAGAGGCGAAAATACGGAAGCTGTTGAAGGAGGCTAAAGACCGCTGTAAGCGCAATCCGACTGTCAAGCGTTTCAGAACAGTAAAATATGGCCACACTCCACCGAATCTGAGTGTAGGGCCACATTCCCATTCCTCGGTACCACCACTGCCATCAAATGCGAGGTATGGTACATATGAAGCAGCAGATTCTGCAGACCGCTACGGAGTTCCATACGGCCAGCACTCGCAAAGTTCGTCGAGCCTACCTTATCACATACGATCAAGAACTACGGAAACTATAACTGAGGTCGAACACGAAACACCGTATCCTTCAATAAGCGCAATTAGAGGTACGTTTCCGCTTGAAAATTCCGCTTATCAGGATTTCGACGTACAACCGCCAGCTCCTTTGCGCACCAAAACCCCGGGAACCATTGTCTCGCGATGTGACTCTGCTCCATTGCCTGATTCGCAGCGACCAAACCCACTGACAGAGACTTCAGTTGCGCCTCAACCCAACGCACAACCCTCAAAGAAAGCCAGTGTCGATCACGGGCTGAAGAGGCAGAGCAAAGTTGTCAACCGCAAATCTATTGCGAACTTGGAAGCGCTCACTCGGTATCAGCACCAACAGCGACAGTCAAGCTACTCGATGGATAGGCCACCCTTGCATTCTTCAATCTCTGAACAAGATCATGCAGCAGACAGCCAGCCTTCTCGTCCATCACCACACCACATGTCCGGCTCCTATGATTCACAAATCAATTCCATTAGCCTAAGAAACGAGCCATATCATCCGCCAATTCCGCATCGGCAATCCCAGCATTTCGTTCAGCCGCAACCATATGGATATCCAGGGCTCTCACAACCGACGCAGGGACCATATTGCCCTTATCCACCGGGCTCTCCAGCACAGCAACCCTATGCACCTTATCCCCAACATGCTGAGATTTCATCTCCAGTTTCGACCCAAGGTAGCCAGTATACAGAAAGTAGTAGCCCGTACCAACCCTGGGACACTCCTCCTTCAAGCGTAAGCGGCTTCACCAGTGCGAAAAAAACGAACGAAACAAGAGGAAATCGATGGGCGAGCGGAGGATACGATGGTGAAGGATACAACGGCGAAGGATACAACGGCGAAGGGTACAGCTGAGATAGCCAACAAACCGTTTCAGTCCACACAACCATGTCTTTTCCTGGTTAATCTTGTAAATGCATACAATGACACCCCCTCTCCAACCCTTCCTCCTGCCATTGAAGGCACTACTTCAAAAAGAAGAAAGTCTAAGCAAGCTTTCCCTCTCTAATAAGCCGACTCAACGTCTCATTTCTCACTGTCCACTGCCCGAACTCCCCCGCATACTTCTCCACTAGCAAATCACTCACCACCCGCCCAAACACGACCTCCCCCCATGGATTCAAATGCGTGCGATCCCGCGCCGTACTCCCGTTTCCCACCCAATTATACGTGTCCGCGCCCGCCTGCCCAATCGCGTTGACGTACGCTGTCGACGCCTTGTTGAGGTCGATGAAGTGCAAGTTGCTGGACGTAGCGACGTCGATGGTGAGTGCAGTTTCTGCCGCGAGGTTTTCGATGACGCGGTTGGTAGTTGTGTTGAAGGTGCGGCGAGTGAGAGGTGTGACGAGGATGGGTGTTGCACCCGAAGTCATGACTTCCGAAGCAAAGGTTGCGAGGTTGGTGCGGTATTGGGTTGGGGAGACGCCTGATGTTTCTTTTTGGTCATTATGGCCGAACTTTGTTACTGTTAACTTGAATCTTTCTTTTGAGTTTTTATTTGTTTGAAAAAGGCGAGGATGCAGTACCTGGATTGTGACATAGACTCTGTAGTCTTGCTTGTAGGTTGAGATGTCTTTGATTACTCGGCCCCAGTCACCGCCAGCACGGAAGGATGCCGTTGTTGCGCCGCTGTGGCCATAGTTTTTGCCGGAAGATCCTGGTGCGACGGTCTTGGAGAGGAATGCATCGCCCCATCCGCCGTTGGTGGCTGTTGTTGAGTCGCCGGCTAGGAGCCAATATATGGGTTTGGCGGCGGCATCGTGCAAGCTGCTTGGTGCTGCGAGAGAAAGAGGCAGCAAGGATAATAGGGTAAAACGCATGGTTGGAGCTGCGATATCTTTCTACTTATTTGGCAATGTAACAATCGATAAAGAATATTGATTATTTGATGATTTAGAGTAGTGAGAAAAGCCCAGTTTGCGATAGTACACCTTTACATTTGTAGTCCTCTCATGTTTATACCGCTGACGGCGGAAATAGTAGAAGGCATCTTCCATCATGTATTTAATTTATGAGTATCATACTAGATCATCACTATACTCGCAGTGGTATGAGAACCGGTTCTATTGTCGGCAGCTTTTCCTAAAATCGTCGTAAAGAAACCAAATAATTCGTGCAATTACTTTGGCGGGGGAAATACTGCGGGGGCACTCTTGGTCAAACGAAATGCCCGGATAAAAAATCCCCCATCAAACAAAGCTTCTACTTGCAATCAGCCGCATTCACCACAACACAACTAGAAAAAAATATTTTGTATACAAAACCGCTAGGTCTTTACATAGATGAACATGATGTAAGGAGATCTTATATTACTCTGTAATAGCGGTGTATATTTACGCTCATTGACGTGGCGCTATTTTGGCGGACGTATTCTTATCCGAGTATTTCGGTTGACCAAGAGCGGTGTGGCGTTGCCGATCGCCAGGAACCTCGCGGTAATCTCATCCGAGAGATCCGTCTTTAAGAATAGGTTCTTACAGTGTGATGTAGGTACGCAATTTGCTTATGATACAGACTAGAGAGTTTCTAATCAGCAGAGTAGATGGCTGCTGCATAAATGTGATTGTTTAGACATTTGTCGGCCCACGAACAAAGGCGCTTTAGTGGCTGCAGGACGGTGTTGCTGCATCCACACAAAAGGCACGACAAGTGATCAAACCAATCTCATTCTCAAGGTAGTGGCAATGTCCCTTCTCTCCTAATGAAATCTCTAAAAAAGGGGTAGAACTAAACGGCACGGAAGCTAATTGCGACGTGAGATCCGATCCGCCTCTGGTCGCCAGGCAGCAACACAACTCAAAATCATTCAGCAGGCCCTTTCGAGTATACCGTATCTTCTCAGTCAATTCAATTGACGTTTCAACCCCATTCTTAGTTGGCGATATGTTACACTCCATAGTATCGGCCGTTCTTCCATCGGTCCACTTATTGGCTTATTCCGCCTTGATTGGGACGGAACTATATCAGACCTTCGTGGTAACAAAGATTACTTACAGGGCGTTACCTAGGCCTGCATTTGTGGGTTTGCAGAAGCAACTCTTCCCAGCCTACTTCAACGCCCAATTTCTGCTCTTGCTCGTCGTCGCGCTGACACGTCCACCTTACGGTCCATTCTCGTCATTCGGAGAACCGGCCAGCTGCATTCCTTTTGCAGTAGCCGGCGTGACTGGAGGATTGAACTTTGGATTGTATGGGCCTCGGTCTAGGGCTTTGATGATCGAGAGGGCAACTAAAGGTATGTGGAGCTCTTGTGTGATTCGTTGCTTCTCGAGACCGTAACAATAGCGGCTTTGAGGCGAAATTCCAATGGCCTGCTCGTGCGACGTAGGACTAACGCGAGGAATAGCAACACGCGATTCAAAGAGTGAGGAAAAGCTACTGTTGAACAAGGCGTTTTCTCGTGCGCATGCGATTAGCATCCATTTAAATCTGGTAACGATTGGCGCAACGCTTTGGTATGGTTGGCAGTTGGCTTCAAAGCTGCAGTTTTAAAGCTACTGTTATCTTCACAAATAGAAGAGGAAAGTAATAAGCGGGCTTGGTGGCTCACAAGTAGAAGGAGGGCGAATATCAAGAACTCAGAAGCGGTCAACGGGGCATTGTCGAAGGCCTGCTGCCATATATCATAAGAGATCACATTGTCCTGCTTGTCTTGCAGATACGAAAAATCGAAAAGCTGATAAATCTCTACTCGTTGAGGGTGTCTTTGGTGATGCTCGCGTTGTTTCAATGGAGATAAAATTATGTAACTGGTAAGGCAACCACGGGTCCCCGCGTCTGCACTCGCATCCCAAAGCGGTTAGGCTGGTCGGGGAGCGGGTTGGGGCGTTTTCTCCGTTCCGTGTCGGGTTGAACACTCTCCCCGATCCCCTACTTTTGCTGTAACTTTCACACATACAATTCTGGATGCAGGAAAGCGAGGGGCGTCCCGCTGCAAAAGCCGAGCAGCCAAGGACTCTACAAGCGTGTCAACGCTGTAGGAATCTGAAAACTAAATGTTTGCCGAGCAGTCAATCAGGTCGATGCCAGAGGTACTACTCGCTCCACCGTAGCTATGGAAGCGAAAGTTCCTTGAAGATGGCTCAATTATGTCAGGAATGTGCTGAAATATCACAGATGCTCCACTTCCGGAAACGAGTGCGTTTGGGCTGAAGCGCCCCGACGAGCAAGAAAGCTGCGTGCCCCTTCGTAAGTCGGTGTCCGCCATAAACATCTTCTGGGACTCACTTCATTCAGACGCATTGCTCAAGTTGAGCAAAAGATTGACGGGCTTGTAGCCAAACTCGTTTGTGCATCTGAAAATGAAGTCACGGCTAACTCGGCGTTCATTCCTCCTCCTGTTCCGCCAAAGACGACAAAACCAGTTGCCACAGGAGATTGGATGTCTGTTGAACCCCAATCAGAAGCACGCTTAGGGAGAATTTCTGACGATGCTGAAGTTGACCGTCAATACCTCGAAGAAATTCGCGGTATACATGGCTTCAATGATCGACAGACTGCCGGTCAGTCTTCTGAAGGTCCTTTCAGGCTGACAAAGCGACTTGAAGACCCCATAGATGATGATCTTGTCCGGAGTCTACTTGCTTCAGGCGAAGCAGAATCTTTGATGAAAGAATTTCATTCCATGACGGTTACGTTCCCTTTTGTTGTTATATGTCAACAGCTCTCTGGCATCGACTTGCATACAGAGAGGCCAATGCTCTTCCTTGCGATAATGACAGTAGCGTCCTGGAAGGACTACTCACAACAGAGAAGACTTGAAGCAATATACCGTACGGAACTCGCTCATCGCACAATGGTCCGTCCTCGGAAGACACTTGGGCTAGTGCAGAGCGTCCTTGTTTATCTATCCTGGTACTTCTCCTCCACATGCATGGCTTACAATGTACTGAACGCCAAAGGTACCATTTCGTTTTCAGTCACAAGACGCAACAGATCTTCTTCCTACACCACCTTGTGATTGGACTGGCACTTGACATTGGTCTCCACCAGGATTACCAACCAATCGACTTTACCCCTCCGATACGGGGCATGCCCCCACCGCCATCTGGGAAAGAATTACGAGAAAGGCAAAGAGCATTCTTGGGTTGCTACTACATTTCTTCCATGTATGTTCTTCTTAAGGAATGTTCAATACTTTGCTGACACTGGGCAGGGTAGGCGGTGCTTTTTACAAGCCGAATCTACTGAAGCATACACGTTTTATGACCGAAGCGGCTGAAAGCTTGGGCAAAGAACTAGAGTATGAATCTGATGAAATCATTAGCCACCTGATCTCCCTGCGACAGATCGAGGAACAAATACAAGACATTCTATTCACGGCTGATACGGCGCAGCTGCCACTATCTGATGGACGCATGCTTATGCATTTGCGTTCTATAGAAAGTCAACTTGATGCATGGAAATCACAACGCTGTTGCCCTGCCTTTCAAAGACGTAATTACCTTTCTATGTCTAAGGAATTACCAGGACTTCGCTGATGCCACACAGTGCTCGAGCTTTCCTTCTCTTTCAGCAAGACACTGTTGCACAGCGTCTCCCTTCGCCCGCGTACATTGAACGTTCCCCCGCCACCGCAATCGGCACAACTCAACTCTTTGTTCTCTGCACTAGAAGGTGGCAAGAAATTCTTGGATACTCTTTTATCCTTTCCAAGTAATGAGTACCATTTCATATCCTTCTCTGAGTGGATACGTTTACCGTCGGTCATCATGACGGTAGCCAGGCTGTGTATGCCTAATGATAACCATGATGCCTGCGGCTGGGATGTACAAGCAGCTCAAGAGCGAGTGCGTCTCGAGCTGTGTCTCGAGTCTCTGTGCTTCCGAATGCAAAAATTATCGACGTACGACGAGGTGAAGCAGCCCCACAGCGACTTCTGGCGAGCAATGTGTTTCTTGATGGACTTGACGAAGAATTGGTATACCCATAAGATCCGACCAAAGGCGCCATTGCAGAAACCTATGCAGCCTCCACAAAGGGTGACAACGGAGACAGGTACGGCCGAAGCCTCGTGTCCAATCTTTGTCATGTCAACTGCATGCCCCATGCATGGATCAGAGGCGCAATACCCCGCACTGGCTGATGTGGACTTCACGTGCGAAGGCAGTGCGGAGATGGATGGTGCTGCCAGTGGGAGCAGTGACCCGTTTGCGCTAATGAGGAGCGCAGATTTCGACATTGAGCAGTTATTCGATATGCCCGGAGGCATCTGGGGCGACCAATGCTATGAAAGCTACTCAGACATGGCTTTCGGTAGTGGTGCGTCATTCTAGCATTCGGTAGAGAAGATCAGATGATTAGCCTAGCGCTACACACTGGGAGAAGAAATTACTAGCCTCGGCATTTGTTACGCAACTCTTTTCGCAAATGGATCCAGGACAGCCCTATACCACGTGTTGTAAATCCCAGCGACCACACCTTTCTATGTAACCCGAGGGCACCAACTTGGTGCACCCATGACAGAGCGTCCGCACGGGACATTGACAAGATGGACCAAAGTGAGAAGAGAGAATAGTCATACACCACTCGAGCTTTACGCTTGGGCCTACTCGCATACCAAGATGGAATATGATTGCTTCGGACGATTCGACCACATTCGTGCGAGTCCTCTGTGGCTTACAGCGTGACCGAAGCATACCACAATCGAAGATCCAGATGTCGGCGATCAGTGCCAGTTCTTGTCCACAGAAGAACGCTATTGACGAAGCTTGGAAAGCATAGGTGCAGACAGTCTTCACGTTATGCATCCCTATTTGTTAGCCTAAGAGCTTGGGATGGATTAGGAAGTAGGGGTATGAGTAGGTTAGTTCTGGCTTCCCGGCAGTACATGTGGCATGGGTGATCACTCTTACGCTAAGGCAGTTCACGAGATGGCAGGTTAGACACTAAAGATGCAACGCTCTGGCTCGCGCCCCAGCCGCGAAAACGTCTCTGGGCGCTTCATGCGCATGGCTTAAGCGCTAAATGCTAGCATGTGAGACCTTTTTACGAAGGTCACGTGCTTGGAGCCCTAGATAGACAGTAGTTCCCGTACTGCTGCTTACTATTCTTCATTGTTCTAAGCTGACAGCTATTAGGCTCTATCCAATACCAGCTCGCAGCCTCTCTCCATGGCGCAATCCCACCACCCCGCAGTCAGCATTGCCAGGCACGAGTGCATCTCCCGTGCTTCTTTGACATGGGCCTTCCCGATCGGGCCGCAAGATGGTGGTGATGGTTTCCGCGCTCTGGTTGGCTGCCACAATTTAACTGCCATTGCTGACTCTTGGCGAGCAGGCGCCGACCGCTAACCGGTTTATCCACCCCGGCAGGGCCATCGCATGTGTGACATCAGCTGGACCCTGGTATTCACGCCTTGAATTCTACGTCGTTGACGACGCGTTTTGCTGTCATCCATGTATAAATCTCCTTGTTATTTCCATGCATTACGCGTCTAAGAATTGACTTTACCTCGAAGCATCCTTCGCATTGTCGACTTGTTCTTTTCTCTCTACGCCTTTCAAAGAACAGCATCCTCGATATACTTATCCTTATCTATCTTTTTGCTTCTACATTTGTTATCCTGGGAATTGACAGTCGTCCAACATGAAGGCGTTCAAGAGTTTCTTAAACAAGCGCCGCCAGAGCTTCCAGAACCGCAAATCGAAACCGGCAGAACAACCTTCCGCCCCTACCAAAGCCGACAGTCTCATCGAGACGCCAGCACCAGCGCCGGCGCCGGCGGCCCAGGCCAATGGTGACCAACAACAAGTATTAGCTGAAGCTGCCCCCGGAACCCTTCAGCTCGCGCTCCAGAACAAGTCTAGCTCTAGCACGGTATATGCATACATCACAGGTCTCGCCCTCGAGCGGGGAAACACACCGATTTTTATCCAGTCAGACGGCCAGACTGTGTACTATCCTACAGCGCCTAGTGATATCCTACAACCACTCCAGGCTGACGTCGCCATTCCGCTCGGTAATCCCGGGAATACTGTCAATGTCAGAATACCAAAGATTGCTGGCGGTCGCATCTGGTTCAGCATCGATGCGAAACTCACCTTCCGGCTCAACCCCGGCCCTGCTGTCGTCGAGCCCAGCGTAACCAACCCTAGCGATCCAAACTTCAACATCGACTGGACCTTCTGCGAATTCACCTACAATGATGCACAGCTTTTTGCTAACATCAGTTATGTCGACTTTGTCAGCATCCCAGTTGCGATGAGCCTCACCAACACCCAAGGTCAGACGCAGAGCGTACCAGGCATGGGTCCTGATGGACCAAAAGTGTTGCAGGACAGGCTACGTGCCCAAGCACAAAGTGATGGGCGTCCTTGGGACAAGCTGATTTACGAGAATAACGGCCGTGCATTGCGAGTTCTGAGTCCGAACAACCTACTTGTCGGCAATGCGGATGCGTGGGGTAATTACTGGGATGGCTACGTCCAAGCAGTATGGAACAAGTTCCGCAATGAAGACATGATCATCAACACACAAGCCGCTGCTGGTAACCTGCGAGGTCGGGTCCAGGGTAACGAGCTTCAACTTGGCGAGGCGGGTTCTTTCACTGCGCCGACAGCAAGAGACATTTTTACATGCAGCACTGGACCTTTCCAAACCGGTTCCAACCAGGCTCGCAATGCAGTCATTCCTCGTCTCGCAGCTGCCTTCAACAGAAGTACTCTGCTCAACACACCTGGCAATCAATTTCCTAATGGCAGCAACCCGAGCCAATACTACAAAGACCCGACGACGAACCACTACGCGCGCATCTTGCATGAGATTCAGAGGGATGGACGCGGTTACGCTTTCCCCTACGACGATGTGGTCCCAGACGGTGGACAGGATGTCGCTGGAACAATTTTTGACGGAAGTCCGCAGCTGTTTACCATTGCTGTAGGCGGCAATCAATAGTGTGATTGCTGCTTTATTAGTTGTTGTCCATGTCTGTCGTGGTAAAAAGAATGGGAGCCTGTTACCTGAAATGGTGGTTTTCGCATACATCCTTCGTCACTATATACCTTTTCATTGTATTTTTTCTCCGTCTTAGAATACCACTATCGTCACATCGAGGCGTCGTTGCCTCGCTTATAGAATGTTAAAGCCTGTTTGTATATATCAGCCTATTCTCTGCCCACTCATGTTAATGTATACTTTTGTTAGTGATAGATCCATGCACCTTTCATGGTGGCCCCACTTGTATGTTGGAATATGAAGGCTGACACTCACTAAGCTGCATTCATCAAGCGTTTTTCACTGCCAAGAAAAGCCACACGTGGATGGTTTTCACGACGAATTACCCAAAGAGGTGTTGTGAAAGTACAGAATATAGTACCAAATGGGCATGGCTTCGACATTGTATTGCCAATAGCAGGCAGTGTCGCCTGTTCTCACCGGGCAACCATGAATTCACTATGTCAACACACCTTTCACTGTACAGTGGCGGATATCCCACATTGACGAAATTCTCATCGATCCTGAGACTATATATTTCAGGTACTGGTTTCTTCTATATACAACATTCAACTCATTCAAACCGAACGAAAACAACCAACATCACCAATACGATTCGAATACTATCCACATCACCTAGAATCCATCACCATGTGCCAAGGTTGCATCAAACTCAACGTTGCGGAGCCTTCGCAGCTCCCGGAGCTATACCAGCAAGCACTGGCCAAGCTGATCGAGCATGGCAAGAAACTCTTGAAGTACTGCCCCGAGATGGAGGACTACTATCGCTCCATGGGATATTGCTACCATACATCCCAGCTCAGTAGGCGCGAAGCCATGGCTGAATGTATCATCCATGGCCCTCACCTGGTCAACCTGGAGGAAGCCTTTGACCTCGACGACCCAGAGGATTACCACATCCTCTTCAAGCCACTGGAGACTAGCATCACTCTTCTGAAGGAAGTGGTCTCCGATGCCGAACATATCCCCCGCAACACCTCCGCCCCACAACTCGCTGGGCTACTCACCAACTCGCTCCAACCTAAGCTTCACACCGCCCATACCACGATCAGCAATATGCGGACATACTTCAGCCGCATCAACCTGTACACCAACACCCTCCGCTCGGTGAGCTGCCAGTCGAATGGCACTCACATTCTCAACGATAACCGTGAGGTCCCCTGGCACCGCCGCACACACAATGCGCAGACCGGGCAGTGGGAATTGGAGTCGATGGCAGAGGAGTGGACCGATTATCTTAATTGGGCCACTTGTCTGCCGGAGACACAGGTGTGGATCCAGAAGGGGGAGGATCCCAAGGAGATCGCGCTGAGATGGTTGAAGAACTTCGTGGTTATGGATTTCCAGATGACAGATATCAATTAAAGGGGGTTGGTGAGGGGTTGTGAGGATGGGCTGAAGTTTTCTTATGTTGGTTTTCTGGTATAAGGGTATGGGTAAAATAGTGGGATGGCGTTTGGGAAAGGTATTTGGGTTTGCTTTAGAATGGAGTTGCATTCACGGAAGGGAGTTAGTATAGGGAGGACGGTTTCGTTTCTAGGATACAAAAAAGATTTCATATACTTGGTAATATCGAGAAGAATAGACTATTGGAAAGAATTGTTCAGCAGGGACGTGATACTGCTATGAGAATATTGGTTTAGTCAACACTGCTATTTGACTGAAAGGTCCTTTGGAATCTTATCTTGGCTGTTACGTAACTTCAATGTCTTCCAAGTAAGAAACTATCCGCAATGAGTAAGTGAACAATGCAATACCATATATCGTGATTATTGTACCTCTTGATGAAGCTCCATAAAAAAGATACTCGCAACAGCGAGAGGGAAGGAAACGGAGCTTCTTCGACATCTGTAGTTGTATTTCTACCACCGCGTTTGTTGAGTACTACTGACACATTGTTTATCGCCGGGTAGTGATTCGAGCATCGGAAGCTGGCATGCACAATGACGCGTTCTCTCGGCTGAAGAACTGCCAAGCCCACCATTAACAGTCACAAGCCGAAGCTACTGGACATCCGACGCGTCCGACGGCTGCCTCAACAACAACGGAAGTTCCGTTAACCACATTGCCTCCCGTCACTAACTGCCCACAAGCGCAGCTCTGCTGCCATAGATTCACAATGTCCGCACGACCAGATCAGCTGGTAACACCATCCGAAAAGCGGCGTCGTCTTGATCGCGTCGCGGCAGCATGCGATTTGTGTAGAAGGAGAAAAGTCAAGTGCGATGGTGAATTACCATGTGCATACTGTATACGCAAGGAGCGTGCAGCTACATGTACATTCAGCGGTCCAGCTCCACGAAATCAAGCCCACTCAGTGGTGAACTCTCCAAGTATACCCGCCCACACTGACAATTCGTCTTTCCGGCGCATCCTCTCGGCTGGCCATACGCCAGACAACCGAGACCACACTGTTCGTGAACACAATTCTCAAGGATCGCGATACCAGCATGAAGCCGCTGAAACTGGAACATCGCTCTCACCTACACTGAGTAGAGACGACCTACAAGGCGATACTGCGGTCCCTCTGGAAGGCCGTATCCTTCGTGACGCACAAGGCAAACTAATCTTCATCGGCGATTGCGCCCCACTTTCCTTTCTACAAACAGTCAAGCATCTCATCACATCCGAAGTTGATTCAGGAGTTTCGGTGCAGGCTGCGAGAGATCCCATTATCGAAATCACGCGCCCCCCCTCAGCCGATCAACAACAATGTCCATCCATTGAGCTGCAACATGTAGATACCCTGGTCCAAGAGTACATTGTAGCCAGCAGTGGTCTCGTACAACTGTTTCAACGCGAGGATCTATTGCCAGAGCTGAAAAACTGGGCGAGTAACCAGGCTTCTAGCCCAGACGACGTTGCCACTGCTGTCTTCTATCTTGTACTGGCCATCGGTGCTCAAGACAAGTTCGAAGACAAGGCAGAGGCTTGGTTCAAATACGCGCTCAAAATACTTCTAAAGTTCATGTGCAGTAACATGAACGTTTCTACTGTTCAGGGCTTCACACTGGTAACTATTTTCATGCTCCGCGCTTCTCAACCAAATGGTGCATATTTGTACTTTTGTAAGTGATTGCATGTAAGGGTATTTTGATGGTCACCTGCTTACGATGGCCAGCTTTGGCTGCGCGTACTGCATACGCAATTGGCCTTCACAGAACCGAAGTGAACGCTTCTTTCGGTGAGAATATTAGATCGGTTCGCGACCGTATCTGGAAGAGTTTGCGCGTCATCGATCAACTTATCAGGTAAGCCGTTATGATTTCTCTCATTCACCAAAACTTCCATAGTAAACATACACTGACATGTAATGTTTGCCATCCAGCAATGTCCTAGGTCGGCCACCCTCCACATCTGATGTGGACTGCACGGTCAAATACGTTACCTCCGAGGACATACGATCTGATACTGGTGCCAACATATTGGACGCAAGTGTGCAAATTTTCATGATCGTCGAACGCGTCGTTGTTGAAGTGTACTCTCGCAAGCGGATATCTCTACGGATCGCCGACTACGTCTCAAGGCAACTGAAAAATTGGGCGTCCAAATGGCTCGGAAATCTCTCAGACATTATAACTAGACAACAATCTCGCGAGGCAGTAGTTGGCGCCTGCTCCACTCTATGCTCCTACTACTATGGTATCATGCTTTTGACACGGCCATTCCTCATTTACGAAATTTACGAATACATGGGCGCGTCGCTCAAGAATGGAGGTACGCCTGCTGATCATCAAGAGAAGCGCAAATACGCGGATGCTGCAATCGACGCGGCTTCGGTATTGGTTGACACTTTACGGGTGTTGATCAAAGCAGATCAATTACCTCGCAGGATGCCGCTGGTAGTGTACGTTGCAACGCATACTAACACTGATATTTGCTAATAAATCCCAGATCTTGGCTCTTCACTGCCACATTGGTTCTAGCTGTCGGCATTCTTGGGAACTCCGGCCTTCTCTTAGAAGAAAGCTGTAAAGATGCGATTACCTGCATGGACTACTTCGGTATGGTTGATCATCATGCTCGTCAATATTCGCATGCTGCCCAGTCTCTGCTCAAAATCACAACTGCACATGCGAAGAAACGGGAACTGCATTTGCGCCGAAAGCGGAAGCAAGCTTCCTCTGAATTGTTTGGTCTACTACCATCCGAGCAAACGCCTCGTGCTCATCCAATCGAAGGGCCTCAGCCACGACCGGAGCCTGGCTTGCCATCTTCCACACAAACTACTCTGCGAAACCCTCCTGCGCAAGCCCCGCTTGACTGGACTATCTATGATGCAGACTTCTTTGCTCTACCGTGGCCTAGTGAGAATGACCAAGGTTTACAGGACTTCCTTCAACCGGGTACCTATAATCTGGACGGTGCGTCTGTGGCGGATATACCGCTCTTCCCTATCCATAATCAACAGATGGGCAACGCCTTTTTCCCGTAGTTCAATGAACTGTGTGTTTGTATCGAACTTGTTCGCAACAATTTTGGAGCCTAGAGCTCAATGTACGACTTTTGTTTCGCTGGTTTCGTCTCTTGACGTTCGCAGGAAGGGAATCAACTTAGTGCCTCCGGTACCAACCAGCTCTTGTGTCTTTGGCTTTTCTGCGACAAGCTCTGTAGAGGCAGAAGCGATGTCTCTCCTCTTCACATGGTTTGCAGGCTTGGCCGAATGACTTGGTATGATGATGTACCTCGTTACAAGAGCAATGTGTTTATCGCGGAAGCCACTGAGTGCTGCAACGGCTGCGTTGAACGCTGAAAGAAGCACATCGTTCTCTTGGTGGCTATTTACATAGCTCCGAATATTCGCAATCGCTTCAACGTCATCCAGGAACCGAGCGTGGGGGCCGGGCATGTATCCGCGCATCTCCGCGTGGAAACCGCCACTTCTTGAATGGTCTACCGAGAGCACAGCGTCGAAGAACTGGAGCAGGGAAGACTGCCCATTGGAGCCACCTCGGTACGCTCGCCATGTGCCCTTGCCATTGCCTTCATCATAAAAGACACCATTTGGCAGACCAGCAGCCGCCATGTTCATGCTGCCGGCCAGAAATGGCCTGATGGTGTGGTAGAACACGTGAGGATCACATCGTTCATCCATACGTTCTAGAAGTTGTCCGATACTATCCACACCTCTCTTAAAGTACTGCAGAGCATGCACTACTGTTGCAACGTCATCCTTTGTGACGGCTTCGATCGCACCGAGCATGGTCTCGATCAGTGGACCGGCCCTTGCCTCCATTGCATTTGAGATGATGAAGAACCATGATTCATCATCACTGCCAGTAGCTGTATAGAGAGCAACCATGTTTTCCGGCTGAGTTAAGTCGGCGTTGTTGGTTAATGGTCTCCAGTTCCATAGGTTCAGTGCTGCATATGTAGCGACGGGATGTACTTCAAGGTGCTCGGCCGTCCGAAGGAAAGGGATGGTAATTGCAGGAGGTAGTCGCTGGATATCTGGTTAGTACTAGTTGTCATTTCAGTCGAGTGAGATGCTCTCTTTACCTCTGATGGTTCAGGTCCTGTCCAGATGTATCCTTGAGCCATGACAGCTAGCATCGAGTGGGCCCTTTGCCATTCTGCTTCACTGTCTAGCTGAGATACTTCGAGAATCGGCAACTCGTCAACCCATTGCCGTATTTGCTGAGTCTCGATAAGTAGAGGAAGTTTCTCTATGATCTGTTCCCATGGGCGGTAGTAGTCTTGTGGTAATCGGGACAACGGCGGCTCAGCCGGAAGAAAGCCATTTTGAGATATGCCGTACTCCGGTAGTGCAGAAGTGCACGGTAGACTAAAGATTTTGTGAGGACTCATTGTGAAAAAACAAAACAGAAGCAAATCACAGTATTGTTTCACGGATTCTAGAAGGTGTTGAATATGCAGGGCGGCGAACACCGCATTTATCATGAAACCACATTGGCCCACTTCCCTAGGCCAACCAAGTATCTAAACCTCGAACGATCTCAAGGTGTCGGATCGGAAGGCGGACGGAAGCACGTCGGAAGCGCGTCGGAAGACTAAAAGAAGAAGGTGCTGGCCTAATGCATATTTGCCAGATCAAGTGCCGGATTCTAGAAGACGTAATCGAAGTAGCCAGCATATATTAAGTGTCCTATTTCTCACTACGACCTCACACACAGGTCTTTCAGTCGTCATCCGAACGTTGTATTACACTGCCATCTTGGCCGATCACCATGGACACCACCAGCGCTATCGAACAACTCCGCCAAGGCCAAAAGCCGCAATGGCCTGCAAATGCCGAGTCATTCGACTTTGCTCGGACCCTTGATGAGAGTACCGAGATACCGCATACATTCCGTCCCGAATTTATTGTCCCCAGCAAGGCGCAGCTCAAGCGAAAGACTCTCAAAGACGATGCACAAACCGCAAATCCAGCAACGAGTGCAGAGGACGAGGCCATTTACTTTTGCGGCAACTCGCTGGGTCTCCAGCCGAAAGCTGTCGGCGAACACATGAACGCATACCTCAAAACATGGGGTTCAATAGTTGTTGGTGGCCATTTCACCGCTCTTGAGGACTCGCCAATCACTCCTTACCAAGACATGGCCGCTGCATGTTCAAGAAAAATGGCCAATGTTGTCGGTGCATCGCCTTCGGAAATTGTTGCCATGAACACATTGACCATCAACCTGCATTTGATGATGGCGGCTTTCTATAAGCCAACTGAGAAGAAACACAAGATAATGTGCGAGTGGCGGCCGTTTCCCAGCGATTGGTATGCGATTGAGTCGCAAATCGAGTGGCACGGACTAGACCCGAAGAAGTCGATGCTTCTGGTAGAGCCAGACGACGGATACACCATGACAACAAAAAACATCCTCAAACTCATCGATGATAACGCTGATGAGCTTGCACTCATTATGCTACCTGGAATTCAATATTACAGCGGCCAACTCCTTGATATCCCAGTCATCACCGCCCATGCACGGAAACACAACATCACAATCGGCTGGGACCTCGCACATGCCGCCGGCAATGTCGAACTCAAGCTCCACGAATGGGACGTCGACTTTGCATGCTGGTGTACATACAAGTACATGAATGCCGGAGCCGGCGCCATCGCAGGTGCTTTTATCCACGAAAAGCACGGCAACAACGACCATTACAAGGGGCTCAAGGGCTGGTACGGCCACGACAAGTCATCTCGCTTCCAGATGGACAACAAGTTTGTTCCTACACCCGGTGCACAGGGCTTCCAGTGCTCAAATCCTTCAATTGTCGACCTCACCTGTCTATCCGGGGCTCTCAGCGTTTTCGAAAAGACATCCATGACCGATCTGCGCTCAAGATCGCTGCTGCTAACCGCCTATGCCGAACACCTCCTTTCGCAAATCGCCACACGAAATATCAAGAACGGCGAGTTTCCCTTCCAAATCATCACACCTACGGACCCGCGTTTCCGTGGCGCGCAGCTCAGTGTCTTGCTGCCTGAAGACAAGTTCGACGAGGCTAGTGCGAGACTGGTAGACAACGGCATCGTATGCGACAAGAGGAAACCGGGTATCATCCGTGTTGCGCCAGTACCGCTGTACAACACTTTTGGCGATGTTTGGAGGTTTATGCAGGTCTTTGAAGAGGCGATAGCAACGAAGGAGAAGGAGCAGAGTCAGTTGCAGGCGGCGCCGGTACTAGAAGCGAGGCTGTAGAGAGGTCTATGTTTTCTTTTAAGCGAGTTTTGATGATTTACGTGTGATATCATTTTCTATATAGCGAAGTAGTGTGGCTGGTAAAGGTGGACATGTGGACTATGTAGTCATACTATGTGACTACCAAGACCGATGAGATGAACACTAGATGTTTAGCCGATCTAGCAATTCTAGAAAAATAAAATGAGTGACGTTAGTAATAAAAAGAAAATCAGAATATCACAGACCCCTTCCTCGTTTGCAACATATCCCTACCTTGAACATAATCGCGCCAAGCGTGGAAGTAGTCCGTCGCTATGCACATATTAAGTAAGCATGTTAGTTACACTACTATCTAATACGATCAATCAGCTCACGCCTCAGGCACACACTCTCCAGCGTTCTTCCCTACCCAAACCGCCCAAGACGCAGACATGTAAGCAAAGCGGGGCAACCCCAACACCCCTGTTCAACCCGCGCCGATCACAGCAAAAACGAGCTAGCGCCCTATGACGTATCTCCGTCTCACACTCGCTGCAACAGCAACCAAGAAATACGTACGCTGGGAGTCGCAGAACAGGGAGGGGGGGGGGGAGGGAGGGGGACAGGGAATTAAAGGGGGGGAAACGGGAAGTTGTAGATTGACGTAAAAGAGAAAAACGGCGAGCAAGTTCTTATTTTACGTCCGCGCGCCCATTTCTTCGCTTTTACTGTCTGCATCCACTTGCGCATCTCATAAACTTGCGCTCATACTTCACGCCGCCTGAAACAACTACAATCCAGATCAAAAGAGGACGAATACATCTTAACTACGAAAACTTGATAAACGAGGAAGAAGAAGAAGAAGAAGAAGAAAAGGAGAAAGCAAAAAAAAATATGTCTTCATCAACCAACCTCCCCCTCCTCTTCACCCTGCCCCCCTCCAACCGCCACGACTTCCTCCTCCTAGACACGAGCGCGAAACTCTCCCTGAAAGCGCTGAACAAGCAAATCACAAGCACTATTGCTAGTAGTCCGAATTGTGCAGAATGTGCGTTTTTTCCTCTCCCTTTTCCCTTTCCCATCTCCCTTTTCCCTGCCTATTCCCACCCACCCTCCTTCCCTCGCTCCCTCGCCCACTCACTGACGCTCGTTTTTGAGAAAAAAAACAGTCATGGCAAAGCACAAAGCCAAAGACGGCCCAGCCGAGCAAATCCAAGAGTTCAAGATCCACTGGGACGTCAAGGGGCGCGAGAAGTTGTGGCCAGAATATACTGTTTTGACGGAAGATAATATTAGTGCGGTGGTGGAGTTGCTCAAGCGGAACCCGGGCATGGGGGTTTTGGAGGTGAAGATGGGCAAGGATTGAGTTGAAAGAGGATACTAAAGAAACGTAATGTTGTAAACTGAAGTTACAAGGAATGAAAATCATCCATAGGAGCCATGTTTTTTGTTCTTTTTTGAAAAATGTAATTCATCACCTACCAATCCAACCCAACCCAATCCAGCCTGACATTTTAAACATGGTGTGTTTTTTTTTCAACTCCCCAATATCCTAATCATTTCTCTGATTTGAATATCGGGTAGGACAAACACACCCTACATACACATTTACATCAACGGAAAACATAAAGGAGAAAAAAAAAAGAAGCATCCCATATCAATGAGAGTCATAGGTTACAATTGAACAGTAGAAACAAAAAAAAAGACAAGCAGCAGTTCCTCCAGCGCGTCGCATCACGTCGCGCGAGCAAACAGAAAAAAAAGAGATCAATCACAAAGTGGAGGGTATCCGTGTCGCGAGCAAGAAAGAAGATGCAGACCACAGCCGAAAAGGAAAAGAGAAAACGCCTTTCTAGAAGGGAAGAAAGGGAAAAAGGAAAATGCCTGCCCATGTGCACCATTGCAATGGTGGCTTTGTTTCCCCCCAAAATACGCCCCCCCGGTGGTTATAGTATGAGAAAAGAAAGGAAAGAGGGGAGTCATTACCTTGGTGACTTGTCCATGGGTTCAGATATCATCTGTTGCCAGTGTACGAGGTCTCTGCTCAAAAAGTCCATCATCTGGGTTGTGCTGAGGTCCTTGAACTTGGCTAGATCTGCGTCATCGTCTTTGCCATCGCCGTTGGTTGCGGCTGTTGTGAGTTGAACGGCAGGCGCAAGACTGACATGCTTTTCAGCTGTGGCCATCTCGACCTGTCGCTGCGCAATGTAGCTCTGCATAGCTCCTGCTGGCCTTCGTATGTCGCTCCAAGACAGTTTTTGCAGGCGCCAGTTCTTTGTCTTGGTGGGTTTGTTGCCCGCTGCACCGTCGCTGCTATCGTGGCCATTGCTCGTGCCGTTTGTGGTGGTTGCCTGTGGTGACTGGGCTACATCATTTTTGGGAGAAGTGCCATTGGTGGCAGGGACGGTGTCTCTCGAATATTGGTTCCGCCCAAGCCGGCCACGGGCCTTTTGAGGAGGGCGACCGCCTCTCCGTGGGGCAGGCGCAGGTTTAGGTTCAGCAGCAGGCGGCTCGGGCGGCGTAGCTTCGGTCGCTTGTGGAGGCATCGTAGGTTCTTCAGCGGCGGGTGTGGGTGTGGGCTCTGAATCTTCGGGTTCTACACCTGTCAGCCAATGGATCGTCTCGCAACAGTTGTAACTTACCGTCGCCTTTTCTTCGCTCTGCGCGCCCTTTGCGCCTATTGGCAGCTTCGTTGCGTTGATTCTCGCGCTCCTTATCGCGCTGTTCCTTTTCTCGCTGGCTCTTTGCTGCAGCTCCGCGTGGCTTCTGTTTTGGCGCTGAGGCTTTTGTGCTGTCGTCTTCGGACTCCAGGACAGGCGAATTGCTTGGAGAGCGCGAACCTGTGCGCTGTCGTTTGATTTCTGGCTTTGTTCTGTGGCAAAGCTTGTCAGCTGAAATGCCGGTGGTTTGTGAAGCAGCAATTGAAACGCACTCTTCGCTATCGTCGCGACTTCGCTTCTTCCGGTTTCCATTCTCCGAAGTTGTGCCACCCTCGTGTCTGCTTTCTTCGAGTACCTTTCGTAGCACCTCGTCTTCGTCATACGCGGCTCGACTGTTCATAGTCGACCTACGCTTCCCAAAGGAATCGACGCTCGCCCTGTTGTTGCGATCCTTGTCCTTGGCCGAGTTGCCCTCGGATTCTTTGGAGACTGATGACTTGCGATGCTTGCCATGTTGCTGGTCGTAGACGGGGAGGTAGCGGGAGTATTTTTGACTGTTGCGACGATTTCGTTAGCCATGTTTGCTTTGTCGCGAAAAATCGGCTAGAAACACGAGTCTCGGCGCCCGGTCTCAAACATGCGACAGAGAACAGATCAGACAAAATACGTACCCTTTCGGACTTGTTGAAACCTTGTGGAGGTCTTTCCTGCACTCCTCGCAAAAGTATTCGTCTGGGCTGGCAGCTTCATCCATGATGCCCACGCATCCGCCGTGCTGCCATACCTTGCAGACATCGCATTGGATGAAAAGACCGCCGAGCTCGTCAGCTTGCGCCTCTAAATCAGCTAGAGACATGCCGGCCTTGAGTGAGTCGGATGGCAGGCCCGGGTAATCTTGATAGCCACAAACGCATCGGGTGACTTCGTCTTCTTCTGCTATGTCGTCTTCGAGCTCGTCGTCGAGCTTGGTGGGCTCGTCGTCGTCGTCGTCATTGTCGTGCTCGCGTGTTCGGCGGCGTGTCAAGGGCGGGTCGGGCTGTGCATCGTGAGAGGGCTCCTCGGGCTCTTCCGAGGAGAGCGAGTGCGGCGTTGACGACTTTGGTGGTGACGTCTGTTTGGTGTTGGTTCGTGACGCACGCTCGGTACGCGCTGATGAGACGGAAGACGACGAGTTGCTGTGTGATGCGCCAGTGGGCGGGGGCTGGGTGGTACGGGCCCGCGATGAGCGTCGCGGCGACATTGCGTGTCGGGCAGTCGAGCGTGTCTACGTGCGACGGGTGGAGGGTAGATGGGCGACGGGGCAGGTCGCGGGCGGGATGGTGTTGGGTGCGCCTGCGAGGGCGTGCGGCCGGGCGTGGTAGGAGGTGGGAACGGGCGAGCAGATGGGTCTGGCGAGGGCGATGGCGACGAGTGAGGGAGAGATGCGAGGGCTTCAATGGCACGGCGGGCGGGATCGCGCAGCGGGCGCTCTCTCTGGCGGGCGTGGGTGGGCGTGGGTTGGAGCTGGGAGGGCGGGAGCGGGTGTGTCGAGAGCGGGCCAAAAGGTCGACAAGCTTCAGAGGGCGAGGAGCAGATGAATGGAGGAGCAGAGAACAAAGCCTGGCGGGGACACGACCATGGTCTGGGGCTCGGGCAGGCGTCTGGAGGGCTGTACCGGGGCAATGCAGTGGGAGAGGCCGAGTGCCAGGACGGACTCGATTTTACTCCTCACGCTCTAGCGGGCAACGCGATTTGGGGTCTGCTCGCTGCAACGAAGCGCCAGCCGTAGTCGCTCGTCACGTGACGCCACTTCGCCGGCGGCCCTGCAACAACCCTGCCATGGCAGCCAGCGCCCTCGCCGTCCAGGCCGGCACCTTCGGATTCGCCTGGTAGCGACAGTCGACGAGTTCCCTGCGGTCCGGCCGCCGTCGCAGCCATCGGCGCAAGGTTTGGGGCAGAGAAACAGAGAGGGGTACAAGGTGCTGGCAGGTTTCGATGGTGACAGAAGTGCGATCCGCTGCCGATGAGGCACTCGCGCTAGCTCCTTTTTGCCCGAGGGGTCCCGCTCGCTGCATCATCACGCCCTTGCCCGTCGGCGCCCATGCTCTTGTCTCCTCCATGCATCATCCCACCTCCCACGCACACGGATATCATCTGTGAGTAAGCCCTAGCCCGTCGGTTACTTACTTTCACTAGGCACTAGACAACGCTGACACTGCGTGTCGCCAAGCGGTCATCTCACGCACGCACGCACGCACTCACTTACTACGTCCTGTGTATCCAAGTATGTGTACTTGCTTAAACTATCACAAGTCACGGGAACACGGCTCCCGCCCACGACCAGGATCAAGGGTCGCTGCGACACCCGAGTCCACTTCCTTCGCCCGGCGGAATCCCATG